TCCCATACCGGTATGTATATCCATACCAATATTACGCTGACCTGTCTATAGTACAGAAGCCACAGCCGAAGAGAGAGTCATTAAAAATGCATTGAAAATGAGTGGAGTTTTTCCGGTGTGGAATCTAATTTACAATCCAGAGCATCCCGGTGCGCCATTTACTTGTAGGTAGATGCCACGACGATAGCACAGGGCTGGGTGATAAGGACGTCTCGACGTCATGTATTTCAGATACGCGTCAGCCCTACTTGTAGTCGGGTGAAGGAACAGTCCCGGGACATCACCGCACCGTGCCCTTACCCACTATACAATGCTCATATTTACAGTCCCGTCTCCCTATGCCCTCTCGCGCGCTCACTTCCTCCCTGCCATACGGCCAGCGTAAGTAAGCAACAAATACCTAACACGCCAAAGTCTTCGTCGCCGTTATCGCCAATCATACCCGAGCACGAGCACGAGCACGAGCACGAGCACGGCCGGCCAGTTTGGACGTTCCGCCTTCAATGTCTACCTAGGTACTAGTTAGTATCTGTCCGGGTAACAACTGTCTGTCCGTGCGATATCTCGGGGAAACGAACGTTAGGACGAAGATCGATCGCACTACTTACCGTAATCTGGAGCCCGCGCTCGGCGGGTAGGGGAGGCCCCATGTAGTACTTTTCCAAGCAAGTACTTGGTCTGGGCAGAGGAAGTCTAGACCCTTCCCATACGAGGGTCTGATCAACCCATTCATTAACGAACTTCTTCGTCAAGCACATCAAGGTATGTTTACCACCAAGTGGATATACAGGGGCACGTACACCATAACATAGATACCTGTACCTATCCCGAATCGGGGTAAGTTTAGGTATAACAGACAGACATGCAATCTTTGTATTTTCTACGCGAGGAATTGCTCTCGCGATTATACATTGACAAAAAGGAGGAGGAGATGTCGACGTGATGTATAGATTCTGTCCGGTATCCCCGCCGCCTGCCTGTGTTTCCCGCCTTCCCGTATCCCTATCCGTCCGATATCTCTCCCCCTTCCTCGAATATTCCTTCCTCCCTTCCTTCCCTCCACGTACCAAATCAGATCATCCCAAAATCACCATCGTGTCGGCCGTTAAGAAACTCCTCCCTCCCTTCCCTTCCCTTCCCTTCCGTTATGCCCCTCCCAACGCTCACTCAAACATACACGTGCCTCCTCCCCGAGTGCGCGCTATGATGGCTGCGATGACTCCCGCTCCTCCTCCTCACATGCGTCGTCTCCTTCCTCACATACGACGTCTGCCTCCCGTGCCTCCGCCCGTCATCCCAGCCACCGGTCCCGTGAAAGTAGGCCAGCAGGCTCGTAAAGAAGAAAAAGATGCAATTCATGATGCCGAACGCAAAGCACGCCTTTTTCATTGCGCAATGCTTCTCGACGTTGAAGTCGATGTCGTTGACGGTCGCACTGCCCAGGTTCCCGAAGGAGACGGTGTGCGACGATCTGGTGGTGACGTTGGAGCAGTTCTGGTCCGCGATGTAGCGGAGCTCGTAGACGCCGCCGATGAAGGCGCCGACGAAGAGGAGGTCGACGAAGGCGACAAAGTGGGAGTTGTTCTTCGATCGGTGGTAGGTGAAGAGAGTGGCGATAGCCCAGGCTAGGGCGAGCACGGAGACGATGAAGAGGACGAGGATGTCGTCAGGCGTGAGGGCGTTGGCGCGGTCGTAGATGCGCACGAAGTAGGCGAGCATGCCCATGCAGGGAATCTGAAGGGAGGGGGAGTATCAGTCGGTCATGCTTGGGACGAGGTGAGATGTGAGATTTGGAGAGGAGGGAGGGGAGTGTGTGTTGAGAAGAGAGAAGAGAGAGAAGGGAGAGCTGACCAGAGTGACAATCTCCATGAGACGCCAGAAGACGAAGAAAACCCCAAACAGCATGGTTGCGATCTTGCCTGCTGCTTTGCCTTGCCTGCGCTGCTATCAATCGTACTGCCGTGTGTCTCGGGTTCTCGAGTTCTCGAGTCCACAAATGAGTCTGCGACAAGGCTGGTGCTGGGGCCGAACACAAGCTCTTTCTTGCTGCGCGATCATGAAGACTCAAATGGCAGAGCAGAGTCAGCGACCGAGACAGGGTGCATGTATGAAATGAAAGTACGTTCAAAACCAAACGTCGGTAGAGCGGTAGAGTGCGACGCGGAAACAGATGGTCCGGGTCTGATATACTCGAGGTGGAGAGGCTGGGAGATAAAGGCTTTTATCGCCGGGGGTAGGTATAGCTCGACCAGGGCTGAATCTTGCTTTCTGGGTAGAGAAAGCTTAGGTGGTGCTGCGCTGACGACTTCAAGGCTCTGTGCGGGAGGGGAGATTAGATAGAGAAATAGAGAAATAGAGAGAGAGATAGAGAGAAAGATATATAAGTAGAAAGATAGATATATACGGACAATTATCTGTACGTGGTATATGTATATATATATATATGTAAGGGAGGATAGGAGAGAGAGAGCCTTTTACTGATTTCCAGCACAGCAGCACAGGCCGTCGTCCGACAACGACTCAGGTGTCGATGGCAGAGACTGAGAGACCGAGAGACCGACATCATCTCGGTAAGTAGTGGTGCTTTTATACTGTAATGTGTCCACCTCAGCCTATAGTAGCGAAGGAATTAAAGCGAGAGGTTGGTGGTGTTGAGTGGAGGAAATGTAGAAATGTGGAAATGTGGAAAGGTGGAAATGTGGAAATGTGGAAATGCCGGTGGTTGGGATCAGGCTGCGGATAAGGATAGAACACATGACATGCAGATGCCGGGGTCAACGGATGCCATCGAGTCGACACTCCGGGGTATTCCCACGACGACTAGTGCTACGGGATCGGAGGTCTATCGGTAGTACAACGTAGTAGTACGACTACTACTACCGGTACGTATATCCGACCTTATTACTACACTTTCCCACCGCTGGGAAGTTCCTTGCAGCGGAAAGCCTACTTACTACGTACTACTGTAGTACTTGTGGTACAACTACCGTAGGTACCACCTACTGTACCGGTACTCGTGCGGCCAGTATATCTGTCCCCATGCGTTGATCTTACTCAACTGGGGAAAGAGATTGTGACGCTCTCTCTATATGGCTGGCTGCACCTAAATTTAGTAAAATGTGACTCTATCTTTGGGATGATCTACCACGAAGGATGGAAGAAGAAAGAGTAATGCTCTGAAGAAAAAATGGCGGTGAAGCACTGCCGTATATTTGAGGCTATAGTAAGGCTATAGTAGAAAGGTTGTGGTGGATATCAAGTAGCCAAAAGAAACAACAGAACCGCAGAGCCTTTGCCGAGACGCCCGCCAACCTAGTACACAACACAAAGTCAACCACCTCAATGCGCGAACCGTGACTCCCGCTAGATACAAAACATATCCCACCCTGGCCGGCGACCATTTCTTTCCAGAAACAGCACAATGAAGGCATATCTGCAAACAAGTCCACGGAGAGAAGACCAGCCTCCCCATGCGACTCCTCGGCCCTCGATTCGTATAATGAGACGAGTCGTCCGTATCTAGACAATAACCTCGCCCCACCCCCTCTCATCCAACAGCCGCTCCTCGAGCCCCTCGTCCCCCTCGCCACCTCCAACAAGGGCAAGTAGCACAGGCGCCCGTCCCGTCTCAAAACCGGCCTCCATCAACTCCAAGCTCCGCTCCACCTCTCTCACCATCATCTTCCGCATAAACCCAACCCCAATCCCACAATACGTGCTTGGCCCTCTCCGGTGACCGCCAGGTCCCACGAGCATCAGCATCTCCCTAACCTTCGCGCCGCCGGACTCGAGTAAGGCGCCCGGTGGAGGCAGCGTTTGGACGCCGCGGAGCGCGAGGCTGTAGACTCCCAGGCTGGGAGGGAGCGACGATGTGATCTGCATGAGGGAGAGCAGCCATGCGTCTTGAGGGGGGGTGGACGTGGATGAGGCGTCAGAGGAGTATTTCGTGTCGCTGGTCAGGTGGATGGTGTCCAGGAGAGGGTTGTAGTAGAACCTGGGGTTGCCTTCTATGTCGCTGATCGGGTAGTGCGATTTCAGCGTCTCGGCTCGGGACTCGGCGCTTACGGAGAGGAGAGCAGGGTGGGCGCTGGCGCAGAGCAGGGACGAGTGCGCGCCGGGTTTAACGGAGAGGACGCGAGGGGACATCTTGTTGAACTCGGCGTAGATCTGGAGGCGCAATTCGAGGGGGAGCTGAGGAAAGAGGGCGAATTCCGTGAGGAAGCCAGAAAGCGACGGTGGCGGTGAGCTGCAGAGGTCCATGGCTTCCAATGCTCCGCTTGCAAAGCGGCCATTCATGCTGTAATCCATGTCCATACTCTCACAAGTGTTCTCAAGTACAAGTATTCCTAAGTCGATGTTTTGTAATGATGAATGTGGGCAATGGGTAACTTTGCCCTGGATGATTTCGGGGAGGGGACATGGCTCTTATACAACAAAGTTATAAATCCTGATGAGTGGGTGACGGTGAGGGCGACTAGAGGCGGAGACGGAGTAGACGGAGTGGACGGAGTATCCGTCAAGGGCTGCTGGCTGGCCTGAGACGCGATGTACCGGCCAGCAGCAGAACTTCATGCGGACAGGGGCTTGATACACGTGATTAAGCTGTACAACTAGTTCCGATTGGCCATCGATCTTTGGCTTCAGATAAGCGTTAGCTGTTTGCGTTTGCTTGCGTTTGCTGCTTTTGGTATAAGCCTCTCTATAATTGGTTTTGTTGTTGTGTTCGCGTTTCCGTTTCCGTTATTCTCGGCCGTAAAGCGGTACTCGATGGGGGGGGAGGGCTTCGCGATTTGGGATGTACGGTACGCAGCTGTCTGGCGGGCATCCCGAGACCATCGGCTGGACCGTGCTGTGTGCTGTGTGCTGTGTGCTGTGCTGTGCTGTGCCGTGCCCTCACCTGCCCTGCATGACATCCCTCTCCTTGTGTCCTTGTGCGCCCTCAGTTCTTGGGTCTTGGGTGGAGGCTTCGAACTTGGAACAACGGGCTCGTGATGGAGGGTTTCTGATAGATAGGATAGGCTTTCCGAGTATGTGGCTGCTATTGGAGGATAATGTCAATTATGGAATTGTTGTGGAATGCTGGCGTCGGGCGCGTGTTGATTTCGGATCACCTTAAACCATTCGCTCTGGACGAGAGGGATCATTTTCAGACCCTTCAAGGAGAGTGAAGTGAGAGGGACACCAAATGGATCTCGCTCTGCGCTCGTCACCCATCCATCACCCAACACCCATCACCCATCACCGTTGCTCCGACTAGACGGACGACCTTGACAAGCTGTGTCCCCTCTCGTCCCCTCTGCCCTTGCTGAGTCCCTCAAACTCCATCATCAACTTGCACAGCAGAGAGAAATTCTGCCCCAGCTAACGTCAGATTTGATCTCTGATCCCCGATTGTAGCACTCGCACTTGCACTCGCATCCGCCCTGTCTGACTTTGTATACGTATCTCGTACGGCGAAGCCACATGGGTCGGCCGCCGAGGGATGATAGGCGGCGACCCCTTCAATTCAAGCCATTCGAACTTGGTTTGCGAAGGCGCGGTTCTTGCGCGTCATCGGCGGCGTGGTTGGGATGGAAGCTCCAATCAATTAGACGAGGAGATTTGGAGTTCCGAGTGGGATATCAGAATCTCGACCAAAATCTTTATGATTCGAGGTAAAATTGATGCCAACAGAGAGATATATCCCCACTGCCAGAGATACGAGAGAGAGTAATTTGCACAGAGGAAGATAGTCGCGAAGACTCCATAACGATGAGAAGTGATGGAGTAGTGAGAGCGAAGAAAGAAACGAATGATAGACTGTCCAGAGCTGAGGGTTGAGTCTCGGAAATTCATCTGATCAGTTTAGCAAAACGTGACTGGAATGGATACTTATCTTCTCAAGCTCGCACCCTGAGAGCCACTTTGGTCCGCGCCACTTACCACCCACTGAGAAGCCAAATTCTCGGTTTTGATTTCAAATCGCGTTTGGTCCGCCTTGTTTTAGAGGTTGCAAACGCCAAGGAAAATCGTTTTGAAATTTTCAATCCAAATTTCTTTTAAGGGAAACCGTGACTTTTGAAATACCAAGTTCTGAGATTCATGACAGCGTTAAGTGCCGTCACGTGACTCTCCTGATTTGAATGTTTTCTTCGACTTTGGTTGTCCAATAATATTACCGACAAAACCTAGCAATTTTTTTCAATCGAATGCTATTCTAGCTTAAATATTAATCATTTAAAACAGCAGGCGCCAAGCTCACGTGAGTGTCGTAATTATCTTTCCGATAAGGGTCTCGTAGCTTACCGAGCTATCAGCTTATTCATCTCGACTCTCTTAGGTCTTCGATTATCCTTACAATTATTTATGCAAAGAAAATTTGAATTCAAACCTCTCGAGTTTCCAAATACTACAAAGACTCGTGTTGAAACCTGGTTTTTAGAAGTCGAGTTTTTGCGAGGCTCTCAAACTCGAATTCAACCTCGAACTCAATCACCAACTCGCAGCTATGGCGGAATATGCCTCTTTCCCCCTATTCCCCTTCCTTGGGATTCCTTCCTATGTCTTCCGCGACGCCACGTCTGCACCCCATACGTTTTTCGGGACTGTTCATTTACCTCTCGCTATATCACGACAAGCGCCTTACACCCTACCAGCCCTGTTGCTCGTTATCGCAAAGCCAGATCCTTAGCTGAGAAGCGCTTTCAATTACACTGGCTTGAGCCCTCTTGATCGCGAGACTAAGTCAGCCCTTGGTGGCGACATAATACATATAGACCCTGGACAGCCTATATCTTCCAGGACGTACTCCATTCAGATACCGACCCTTTGTTCCTGTATTAGGAGCCTGTCTGACTGAGCCTTGTCTGGGTTGTCGATAAGCAGCTATCAGTTGGAAGGGGTGTCTGGAATATCGTCATTCGGAATATCACCCCTTCATATTTCGAGTCATCGGATCCTTTGCCGCTTGTACTGTAGGGTTGGGGAACGTGAGTAGCGTGCCGCTATGGGACCATAAAGGACGGGGCGATCAGGGTGAAGATTAAGGGAAGACAGTTTTTGAAGGTTGCAAAGAGTGTTGAGAGCATTCGTAAGGAGGGATTGCTCGTGAGGGTGCTGAACATGAGTGACCACACACACAGATGTTTGATGAGGATTACATAAAGGGAAAGCTGGAGAGTGCGAGGGTGGAAGTCCGCGCGGATATTAAAGGATGGGTTGAAGCTGAGTGATGGGAAAATCATCTGATTGCACATCAGGACTCAGGTGGAAAGACTAACTCAGGAGCGAACTTGTATTATTCAACCTAGGAAACATTCGCGACCTTCCAGGAGAGCTGATACAACAATGCATATCTTACGAATCAGAATGGGTGCTCGCTGCGCTGTAGCCGAATCCCTCCCGACATAGGCACATAGAGGCCCGAGATTCAGATCAAAGATGCTGATGCTGATATTTTGAGACTGGGAGCGCGATGCGTGCAAAGAAAGGCAGAGGTGAAGCTGATGTGAATAGAGTAACAGCAGCCCTCTGTCATCCTCCAGCGACTTGGCAGCAGAACCACCACTAAACCCGAACAAGCTCTAGACATCTCAGAACCGCCACTTGAAAAGCGATCCAAAGATCGTGCCAGGACTGCCCTGAGATTGACCAGCTTCCATGTCCGACTCTTGCGCCTGCTTCTGCGCCTGCTTCTGCTTCTTCTTCGGCGGAGACTGGGTCTGCTCGCTGGGCATCCCGAAGGGTCGCTTGGCAGGAATCGACTGTCTGATCGCCGCTGGACCATATGGTTGCTGCATCGACAGGATATTAGGTTCAGAGTCGGTTGCGTCTTGGTCCGGACCTACGCCGAAAGTAGCCGGGCGGGGAACTGGACGAGGCGATGGACTTGTTGCGTGTGGAATTTCATACTGATGTGGGCCTGGCGAAGGGGTGTTTGCGTCTGGGACTTTGCCATATGGACTCTTATAGGCGGTGTTTGCATCTGGGCCTTGGCTGTATGGACTCTTATAGGAGGTCACACGATTTGCAGCGCCCAGCATTCGCAAGCTAAGAGCTGGAAAGGTATATAGAGAGGGGGTGCTCAGCCCGGAGGTAGCAGCTTGACTTAGAGTAGGGTCGATGGCAGGTTCTGCTCGGGTCAGGGTGATCTTTCCTGGTTCTAGAGCGAAGAAGTCAGCCGGAATCTCAGTCAACAATAGGTGAGGGACTCGAACATACCTGCATCTGATCCCGTGTTTCTCTTGTTGATGCCTTTGGACTCATCTTCCCCTACCTCCACATGGGGACCTGGAAGCGAACTGGCCTGCTCTTTCTGTCTTTGTCTTCGTTCTAGCCACGCCTTTCGTTTTCCAGCAGCTCTCCTTTGTAGCATCCTGATCTCACGCATTTCTTCCTCCTGAAACTCCTTTTCTATCTTTCGTCGCGCCCTCCTCTCCTCTTTCTCGCTCGAATCGCTAGTTCCTGTGTCCATGTCGTTGTTTCATTCGGATTTCCCGATCTATGCTGTTTGTCGATTTGGGCTGTTGTTGTTGATATTGAAAGCGGTCGGTCAAAATTATATTCGTGTGTAGCTCCTCGCCTAGGGTGGAAAGTGATAAACAAGTCGTCTATTCACCTTTCGATGAGTCTAATCAGGCAGAGATCGTGAAGCGAGGCTACTTTACTGCCGTTATCTATCTTTGCAAGGGGCATATGTAAATACCTGTTCTGCTATTTCTTCTTTCACTTGTGTATATTTGATGAAATTTAGTATATCTATATCATTTATGAAGCAAGGACTTTAATTCTCGCGCCTGGAGTTTCTCTGCTCGCATATGAGATGTTCATATAGAGAACAATGCTGGGTGGGAGAGCCACTGCAATTGGGCCGAATTGTTATTGTATATATCCCGGGTAGCAATAGCCCTTAGTGCCTATTCAGCCGATGAGTATGTTCCTGTGAAGTGCTATAGAGCTAGTCGTCATGCCCTAAAATTTAGGCAGCAAGACTCCCGACGCGACTACAAAAAAAAACGTCGGTTTCCCTACCAGTCCTTCTTCCTCTCAAACGTAACAATCTTCCTTTTCCAGATCGAACAACATCAACCCCAACTTCAAAAGATCATACAAAAACAACTCGAAACCGCAGTCATGAAGCTCAACAGCTTCAGCGTCGTTGGTATCGTCTTAGCACCTGGTGCGTTTGCTTCCGCCCACGTTCCTATCGGTGTAGACTTCCCAGCGTCATTGGTAAGCATTGCTCGAGGCCGGTACCTCACTCCTATCCTCCTTAAGATCACTCACAGTCCTTTGCTATATCTTTGAGGGTCTGACCTGAAGTAGGATACCGCAGTCGCCGACCCCGTCACAAGAACCAAATCAGCTACAGCGTTCTCCGTCTACCCAGGTAAGCTACTCTGAAAACCTATGCCAAAACTGTTCGCTTCTGTCCACAGATCATCTTCCTGACCCTTCCAAAGTTGAGAAGACAATCATCATCGCCATCCCAGGCCAGACCACGATCACCTCTTACGAGAAGAGCTACACCACCATCTCGGCAACCAACTTCAGTGCGGTCGTTTCCTCTAGCGCCTTAGGCTCTTCGAATGCCTCTTTCTCCGCTCCTACGATCTCGGTGACCCTCCCAGCTCTAACCTCCACTTCCACCCATACCACTCACACCCCACACACCAACGCTACCTCGACTTCTGCCGTTACTACAAGAACCGAGGTCACTACGTCCAAGACAGTTTCCGTCCCAGTCTCTACAACCTCGGCTGCCGCTGCCGCTCCAAGCTTGGCTACCGCACTTGGACTCGGTGGTTTCATTGGTGCTGCTATGATGGCCATCTTGTAGATAATCTGTAAGTGCTCCTCCATCTCTTGATTTTCAATTCTGACAACTGATTCTTTCCCTCAATATAGGAAACTATCGTGCACCGCATACTCTGGGATGGGATCATAGGATGTGCTGGGGAGGATGTGCTGCAGACATTGATGGTTCTATGGAGGGCTGTACGCAGAGTTGTTTTCCCCAAAAAGATAATTCGATCGTAACGCGATTGGTTTCCCCGAACAGGCTTTTTTCGATTATTAACCTGGTGACAATTGGAAAAGTGAATAATCCCAAGGGTGATGGTTCCATCCGTACGTTAACATGTCAGCCTCCAAACAACGGTGTGGAAGTGGAAGTTGCGGGTCCGTAAAAAGGCCCATATCGCAACGCAACATCCCACTCCCGCCAGAGGACATCACGATCTTTTCGGACGGGTCAGAACAGTACGACCAAGGCAACCGACTGGTAGGCTACGGGTACGTAGTTTATTAAGGACGACAAGAGATAAGCCACGGGTACGGCTCTATCAACGATTGCTCTTACGTTTTTAACGCGAAGGCGATAAGGGTATAGAAAGGCCTCGAACGAGTGGTGCACGCTTATCCGACGGCGAGACGGATCTAGCTTTGCATCGATAGCATATCAGTTATCTAATGTCTTCGCGGAAATGCTTCTTTATCATCGTAATAAGCGTTCTTAAACGTCTAAAGGGTAATAGAAACTCGAGGCGTGCGAATACGATAGTCTTCGAGGCACATAAGCATTAAAAGGAACGAACGGGCGGACAAGCTTGCAGACTTAAGGGCAAGGAAACCGGACTAGGATACTGGTTTAGCATCGCAACTTACGATCAGCGGCATCCGCATACTCTTCCGCGATATACGGGATAGAGCACGAAAAGCTTAATAGAGCGCAAGCTTTCTTAAGCTCTTACGCTCGTATCGGAAATAAAGCCTTTTATACTTAGTTAAGCCCTTTTCGAAGCTAAAACTCTTACGACATGTTTTATACAAACTATTTGCGATTCGAATTACGCACGGAGACTTTATTTGATACTATATTAAGTTCTAGCACTACGACGCTAACTTAAGGTATGCTTGCGGCAAACGCAAGTCCTCTTTGCACTTAGCTTTTTGCCGATTTACGCAACGACGCTTTTTCTCTTAGCCTTATAAAACCCGACTGCGGACCCTTTCGAGCACGATCCCGGAAGCTTACGACTTCCTTAAGGGTCTCTTTAATAATCCGGCCGATTTTCAAGCCTTTTTAACTACTACGGAGTTCTATTCTAAGTATTGCACCCGATAAAAGTGCTATTCTGGTCAATTAATACTGCTTCGATAAAGAGAACGGGGTACGCTCCGCCTTACTTAAGCTGTAAAAGCTCGTCAAATTAACCGCGTCACGGGACTAAAACTTTAAGATAGCGTGATGCGCTTTCGAAAGAATATTTTTTAATACGAGTATATTATATTAGGTTTTCTTTTGGAGTTTAAGCTTTTGTATTTACCTTTTCTTTTCCTTTTATACTCGGCTAACCTCGGTCAGGCCTTAATTCTTGTCGCTACGCGACGTGAATAGCTCGCCTTTAGCTAGCTATAGCAGTTTATACTTGCTTAATTCTTTTTTTTATAGTTTTCTCTTAATAAAAGGTTTCCTTTCTATATGATCTATCTTATTTATAAAGGAAAAGCGCATGCGATAATAGCTTTTATTATAGCACTTTGAATTGCTTTTTAAAGCTTTCTTATATGTAACTCTTTAGCTTAACACGTCGCCGTACCCCATGGAAGGTCTTAGGGCGGCAGGCTTCGCTTGCTACCCGCCCGACGTAAATAAATACAACAACAACAACAACAACATCCCACCCATACACGAGCTGAGTCTCAAATTCTTGAAAGTGTCGTTGGAATATCCTCATGCTGCCCGAGGTAAGGTGAGTATTTACATTCAAGCCCTCCCAAGCGAGCCCCTTACGATAAATAAGTAAGCAAAGCTACCCCACATGCCACCCTGGCAAAAGCGTGCGTGCAAGCGGCGAATTCCAGCCCGTGCTCACTCACTTGCCCTGCCGGAACTCTATTTCATCCGACTGACTAACTGACTAACTACCTACAGCTCTCTTCAAGGCTCAAGCCAACCCGTCGACAAACCCGCAATCACTCTCGAAAAAACCAATATACCCCCCCCCCCCAAAAAATATGCCTGGCTTCTGGACAATCGGATGCCTCTACGGCGCATCCGCCGTAACCCTCGGCGCCTTCGGAGCCCACGGCCTGAAGAAGCGCATCGCAGACCCCCAACGCATCGCGAACTGGAGCACGGCTGCCCAGTACCAAGTAAATACCTTTATTCCTCCTCCCCCCCCCCCCCCTCCCGTCGTCAATCTTGTGACCTGCTTACTGACTCTTTTTTGCAAAGCTTGTCCATTCGGGCATTCTGCTCGTGGGCACCGTCGCCGCGCCGCAGAACAAGCTTGCCGCCTCCCTCCTCGTGGCCGGCATGACCATGTTCAGCGGCAGCATCTACCTTCTCACCCTCGATCCGCAGAGGTTCAAGTTCTTGGGACCGGTTACGCCGCTGGGGGGGCTGTGTTTGATTGGGGGGTGGGCGGCACTGGCGTTTGGGAGGAGGATTCCATTTCCGAGGTAGAGCTTCCTTGGGTTGGCGAGGGATTGTGTTTATGATACGCGTATGTGGATGGTTCTGAGGCTTTGGGATGTGGTTATATGAATGGGGAGTCTCTGCTCAGGTGAGCTCTGCTTCTATTTGACATATGAATGGGTTGAGGGAAGAGTGGCATGCAACAAGCGTTGTTTACACAGATGTTCTATGCTTTCTTGATATCTTTCCATGTCTTTCTTCCGATCAGCAATGGAGCCTGATAGCCGGGCAGGTATACTGTCAGAACTACGGCTGTAAATGCAATGTCACCGTTGTTTTGTGTTTCTGGCACCAAGGAATTCGGTCAGAGATTCAATTTTTTGGCACTCATCCCCTGTATAGTAATGGTGTTTGTGGTCTAGCCAGCCCATAGTCAAGAGCTCAAAGATCACTGCCGAGAAGCCAGCGCCTTCGTGGCCACTCCTTGTAATGTGGCCACTGATCCAGGTTTGGATCCCCTTCAGATGCAGTCAATACTCAGCCGAGCAGGCCCGCCCCAGTTCTACCTTCACGTCAGCTTTTAGCTGTTCTCAGCTGTTCTCAGCATTTTCTGGGAACAGGGAATATACCTTCCAGGTAGACTTGCAGCAGCGAGGGGTGCGGTCGTAATACTCGCATCCTCTCGCACCCTGGCCTACTGGAAATCAGCTCTTGCAGAGTAAGCACCAAGGCGGGGGGGGTGCTTTACAAACGTAACCGGCTATCGTCACCCCCTCTGGTATGATACTCTCATCGACGGTCATTCTGCGAAGCTCTTCAGGGGAGGTGGGTCCGTACTCGGCACAGCAGTCTTCGAAGTAGCCGTCCGGGCAGGCGAGGGCGAGGCCGGCGAGGCCGGAGAGGAGGGCAAGTGTGGAGATGACCTTCATGTTGTCTGTCGATGACGATGATTTAACTTTTGTTGTGTTTGAATGTTGTGGTAACTGGTCTGTTTGGGATGAATGCCGATGTTGACACTGAGGAAGACGAAGGTTGAGGAGCGGTTGCTGCTTATATGCATGCGCCTTAGCGCTATACATCTGTTCGGTTTGGGGGAAGTCACCCACCTCCCAGTATGAGGATATTTGGAAGGCGCTACTCCCAGCAGACGAAAGAGTGCAAGTAAATCTGCCGAACAAGACGGGGGGTTTTTTTTTGAGGCGAGTTTGTTGCGCTTGCTTGGAATGGGTTGGGGAGGATGCTGGCGCGGCAGTTCGGGTAGACAGGTACTGTTGATTGTGTTTGAGAGCAGCGCAGAGCGGAGTGGAGTGCAGTGCAGTGGCAAGGACTTGCCAAATCTCTCGGCGACCTTTAGTTATACATCCACGGAAAGGACGAACTCGATTACGAAACCGAGAAATGAGACTTGAAGATTGCAGATTACCGATGAAGATGGGAAAGAGCGACACAGACATACACACTTATGCGATAGAGATCATTCGCAAAGACCTGCGATAATAAAGCTTTTCTTAACAAGCTGGATCGAAATATTTTCGACGGAGCAAGGCGAAACCCGACCTAATTACCCCATTTGCAAAGCTGAGTTCTGATGGGGAGACAGTATATTCTCTAGCAGGGGGTTTCAAGCTAGGAGAGGGGAGACGAGGAGGGGATTATAAGGTGGAATATGAGCCTTGTTGGTAGGTTTATATCTTTATGTCCAGATCAAATGTACCCGGAAATATACATCTCGAGAACTCCGTCGTGATTGTTGTTATGGGGGATTGGTGCTGGATTTCCTTGTCTTTTCTTGCTGGCGGGCCCTGAATGCCACATGCGCTTAGTAGGAAGTGATGTTAAAAATAACGAGGCGGAGTAATATAAGGTGAACGAATATCGATTAGTGCGTACGTTCTTTCCACGCGTTCATGTAAGTCCTAACAAGTACCCACTGAGAGGGCTGTAGTCTTCGGACTGTATGTTTACATTCCCCTCTCTTCTCGCTTAGCTCCTGTGTTACAATAGGACAGGCATTTGGACTTGGCCCCGCAAGATTACGAGAGCGTTCTATCGAGCAAATCTTTGTCTAAACGAGGATTATCAACCGACTGGATACAATACTGTGGGCCAATCGAGAGTTTTTCTAATGAATACAAGGTTGAGACTTTCAGGTGCTTTCACGCGGGTCAACCCATACTTACATGTGCGTTACACGACTCATCCAGACTCTCAAAAAGAAATCAGATAGAGCTGCAAGGCAAACTCTAATGATATTTCTCACAACTATAGAGCCGTGGGATTCGCCTACAGGGAAACGCAGACTGTCCATATCCAAAATACCCTCGCAAGCAACATCTAACGTTTGCCATTCTTATATCTATCTGACTACAGCCTTTCCTGGCACATACGACCATAGACTGAGGAGAATTGGGCATCCCGTTCGCTCTGCCATACACAAGCCTCAGATCGGCGGATTAGTAGTTGGGTGGGTGACCACCAGCGAATACCCGCTGTCGTATGTTTTTGTACATTTTTTCTTGAATGTGATTCTGAAGTGATTGGTGGAGTGAGTAAAAGCAAGATGGGGCGACTTGAAGTCCCGATCTCCACTCCATCCGGACTAGCAAGCGATTTCAATGCATCAGTTGAGTTGACACTGCGCGTTCGTCTCAACCATCCTCTTTTCGTGATATTAAACGCTACTCTACTGCCCTCTTGAAGTTGAGGTATGCTTGGGGCGAGTACATCATCGCATGCATCCATATGCAGTATGGAGAGGTGTGAGATTGCGATCTTCTTTGCTCACTCACAATCCACTGATCAGTTGAGGGGGGGCGTGGGGGAAGAACTTGATATCTTCAAGAAAGAAATACAGGAGAGGGCTCGAAGGACATGGATTATTGCTCTCCGCGTCTTGAATACAGCGAGACTTTACGATTACTACTCTCGGTCCTTTTCCATATGAGGATAAGGTCTTCTTCCATCAAACAATACGAATGGAGGATACCGCAGGGTCGATTTGAGAATAGGTAAAAATTTCCAATGTACTCGAAACTAATTGTGTCTGGCCCTCGAAATCACTTTATTGTCAAGTGTTGAATTTAACTCCTCGTGGTGTGGTATTCAGCTCCAAACCTGCACGCAGCAGCCCGATATTTCTAGCCTCCTAGTGATGACGGTAATCCAATAGGAAAAAAAGAAAGAAAGAAAGAAACCCCTCGCAATCGCAGAGCGCATATGATTAAATATTAGTGGAATAAACATGCCTCGTTTCTTACACGATTCCATTTAATTTTGAGAATATAATCAAGCTTGATGATACATCCACAATAGCGTCACGTATCACATTTACTCCATAACAAAATCACGACGAATTCCTCAGAAGTTGAGAAAGAGAATGTTCAAGTGGTCTATGTCTCTACCCTACCCGCAAGCTATGCCGCACGCTCCTCGCTGATGCTACAGAAATAAACAAACAAACAAACATGACTTTTCAAGAACCAAACCCGTTTATCTTATCCGACCATGAGAGGCACCCGACTCCCGAGAGATGAGGAAAAGGCGCCATCCTAATGCAAGAGAACCAATTGCAAGTGCAAAAAAAACAAGACTGTGTGTCCTTCTCAATATGGACAAGACCGGTCGCAAAAGATCCCACCAGAGAGGTATGTACGGAAAGGTTGTCTGAGAGTATGACTCGGACGTGAAATATCACGATCAGACCGTACCCTCGCGGCGGCGGATACGTACGTTGACATCCATGGGTGGTCCTTGGCTGCCGACTAGCCACAGATTATCTGGACGGGAGGCGAGGGGCTCGATGTCGTAGTTGAGTGCGATGTAAGCCACAACGAGCTTCAGCTGTTGGGAAGCGAAGAAACGTCCTGGGCTGTGACGATGTGAGTCGTGGCTTGGTAAAGATCGAGAGGGGGCGTTGTAGACCTACCATGCATCCTTGCCATGAGAGAACGCCATGAAGGCGCTGCTGGTTCTGACCAAGGGGATATTCTTCTTCGCAGCCTCGGCGGGTAACTTCCCGTCCGCGGCTTCATCAGCTTCGCCACGAGAGCAGAATCGCAGAGGATCGAAAGCCATTGGGTCCGGATAGAAATCGGCATCGTGGTGGATTGGGTAGTTATGGTAGCCGACCTTCGTGCCCTTGGGGAGGTGCTCGCCGGTCGGGAGAGTCACGCCGCCCTGTTTGACGACCTCTTTCAGTAGACCTCTGCTAACGAATGCCCAGAGTCGCAGAGTTTCGCGAATCGTGCTGTCAGTTGCGACCATCCTTGCGAGTACCGCCTTGGACCAGACTCCGTTTTCTGCAGCGAGCTCTGCGGTAACCTCGTTGCGAATGATAGACAGGTAGTCGGAGATCCTAGCACTGCTAGCCAGGTCGATGAGAAGATTTGTGAGGGTGATGGCGGATGAGTGGATGGCAGCGAATTGGAGAACGCTCAGTCGCTTCGAGATGAGGTCCGTGGCTCTCTCACTTGGGTTGTTCTTGCGGAAGGAATGATCTATGGACCATTGAATATAGTCATTCTAGTGATTTGTGAGCAAGCCAACTAGGCCGAGAACACAGAGAGGATATGCCGACCTTCTTGTTTTCGTCATCTGAAGGACCCGACTTTCTGTGCTCGATGATGGGAACGTGATACTTGACACTCTTGCTGTATCTTATAGTGTCGAATATGTTGAGCAAGGGGGCCACGATACTTCAATAAAGTCAGCAGTGTATGGAGGCCGTCTTTGAATCGACTCACCATCTCAAGAAATTCGGGCATTGCGAAATTGCCGCTGCTTGGACGACAACAAAACGAGCAAACGACTTGGAAGAATCGAGATATTCTTCGTCACGGCCTGTATCTATTATAAGCGAATTCATCCGGGCTAACTACTTTTCACCACTTACAGAGTGGAAGTCCAACCAGAACTCGGTTAGATACCCGAGCGATAACGTCCAGCATCGTATGGTAAGCAGAGACCTGGACCCAATTCTTGGTATCGGTACCCCAGAGTGTTCGGAAAGCATAGTCGATCTCTTCCTCAACATCCTCAGTAAAGTCCCCCAGAAATTTCGTCATTTCCCTCTTGATAACGTCGGCATGAATCCCGTCCTGGATAATTTTAGGGTGGAGCATGGTCCAGTCTGCTTGCAAGAATTGCCTATTGACTTCGGTTTGAGAAAGGACAGTATCAGGTTGCTGCAAGAGCCAATCCATCTGTGACATAGGGAGTATGACCTCCGGGCCGGTGGTAATATTTGGTAAGACGAATGGAAGGTTATTCTTGGAGTACTATAGGCTGTTAGCTCTGCTCAACAGTAATCAAGGACTCGGACCTCCGACCTTGTAGTAACCCTCCTGAACAAGCTCGCGGGTATGGAATAAGGATCGAAAGTTGGCACGCGCGTTTGAAAAGAGACCATCATCGGCGCCAGCCCAGTTGAGAGAGCTTGGAAGAGAACGGCGGGAGAATGGCCAGAAGAACAATCTTAAAGAGACATGGCAAGCAAAGAGAAGGAAGAGGAGTGAGACAGCAACGAGCAAGTATGGAACAGGCTGAAGCAGTGAAGACATGGTAGAGAGCACATCTGCACCAAACCTCCAGAGCAGGGACAAACCAAACGCCATGAGACCCCAGAACTGCAGTAGGAGTGCCATCAGCCAGAGCCAGAACAGCGGCCCAAACGCAAATTTTTGGTTGAAAATATCGCCGCAGTGCAGCCAAAGAGGGAGATCGCTACTCTAAAGAAGGTAAGTCTCTGGTACTCTGGTAAACCTTAGATACTTTCCACGATTTATCTTGGTGAGGATAGCGGTGTTGGATGTGGAGGTTGGAGGTTGGAGGTGGAGTTGATGTAAACAAGGAGAAAATTCCATCTCCTTTCCACGTGGGAATAGAATCTCGACCGTGAACGTACCAACATTCGAAAGCTAACGCGTTCGAAAACTACCACGTGTAGCTGTATATCAAAGCACCTACTCCATTGGTATTGCTAGTTCCACGATAAAGAGCTTAGCCAGCCCTTTGAGACTAGTTTAGATTGTCATGCAGCAGGGCACTTCTTAACACCTCGCCAGCTTTACGTCATTGAATTTGGAGACCGGATTGAATCGCGTTTCTACTTATCAAGGAGTTTTGGGTAAAGCTCGGGAGGTGTCGGTTCGCATTGCAACTCCGAGCCAGTTCGAGTCAACAGAGGGTTGCTCGCTTCCGCATGACTACCTCTTTCCTGGACCAGATAGTATGATACCAGCGAAAATACTCTTTGAATCGAGAAGCAAATTTGAGAGCTCAATTCGTCGTTCTATCACTGAGGAAACTTGTATCGAACAGTCCAAGTCAGCGCGAAGCCCCAACGCAAGCCCGTCTCGCCCGCATCGCCCGTCGCCCAGATCTGTGAGAGCCCGATATCTGGCAACAGTTCGGACGGAAGCATCCCGGTAATCGCTACAAGAGGCAGTCCGAACCTGCCAACAAGTCAGCATGCAGAGGCCCGTCGCGAATATGAAGCGTGAGAGAGCGGTATGGGGGTTTTGCCGAGACCGGATGATGGCAAACGGCATGGAAGTACCAAACGCTTCTTAAGGAGCTGCAGGATATGGTTGAAAGAAGAACAGAAGACCGAACGGTGGAAGGATAAATTCAATTTTGCCGTCAATGACAGCTGCATAGTCCACCCCATCGCGGGATCTTGAGGGCGGCGGCAGATACACAGGGAGCAAAGATGCTGGCGCTCCTCGACATGTCGGATATCAAAAGACGTTTGCAACTGGTACAGTGGAGTCGGTATTAGGAGCAGGGCAGGGGTTAATGTTGAAGAATTTCGAAGTGATATAATGAGTGGAAAAGTGAAGCAAGTATAAACGAAGGTTGATTACGGTTGACGTCTAAATTCGGATCATTGAACTTCTGTGGCGTTCATGTTTATATTTATGCCTTGCCTGACGTGCATCCGAAGGATCCCAAGAGTTCGAGCGTCAGGGACTGACCGGATGTATAGAGGCCCTTTGCATGCTGCTATCCGTCACCCGTTCGTTACCATACTTGTGGTACTAACCCCGGCCCGCAAACGAAATAAAAAGCTTCATGAACTTTTGAAGAAGAATGCCGATGTTTCCTGAAGTCTACTTTCGATGGTTGAAACATATTCTCCCCTCATCTCGCGTATTCTGTCCATAAGGATCATTGCTCCCGGTCGTTCGTCGTTCCTGCTGTCTTGGTCCGAACCCAATGCTGGTCAGCGCAGAGTTCACTCGATACATTATGTCCTTAACCAGCTATATCTCTCTTTCTCCAATAAATAATCAACTAGACAGATAGATCAGATTCCAGAGGCAAATCCACTTCATCTATCAGCCTCAAATCCATCGCCTCTCACATTTTAAACGTCTACTCAATCTTTTCAAACTCCTCGATCAAGTTCCTCTCATCTCTCTTTAACACGTACCAGCCATGAGATCCAACGGCCGGCCGACCGATTAAGACCTCGATTAACCCCGGCTCTATATAGACCCTCGCTGCCTCGCACCATGGCGAACCAAGATTCCATCGCCAGAACGTGCCAAGATCAACGGCGGCGCCCTCCTCTGCTTGGTGTCAATCTTCCCTGGTGGTATCCATCATTCGGTTGTGCACAAAAACATGGACATATGAACAGAGCGCCGTTCCAACGGGGTTAATGAGAATACTCAACTCATCAGACCCGAACTCCGGACTTGACATAACCGGGCCATAATAGAAACATCGGCCTCATGCTTCCAAATCGAAACTTACACAGAAGCCAGTCTTTTGTATAAGTGCGACGTAAGTTTTCACAGCCTCGAAAGAATAACTCTCCTCGGCCCAACATAGCAAAACAAATATGCTACGACCTTCCTCGTCTGAGTCTCTTCACTCCCCTCCAAGTCCTATACTTTCGATGATGTCGTTAAATATGCTCAAACAACTTGGGTCTCGAATATCCAATACCCCCCCTCATGCATCTGCTGGCCCGATTGGCAGCCTGCGTACACGGCCTATTCGCCCAACAGTTTCACATCGACACTATGTGTCCAAGATCCTTCCCAACGGTTTTCTCCGTCATGCTGTCCATTGCAGCAACTGTCTACAGGATGAGTAGTCTGAGCAATTCGACCTGAGTAGAGAGTTCTACAACGGGAAAGTGGATGCTCTGGTTTGCGGAGGTATCTTGGTCGAGAGGCTTGCGTTTCCGTGCCTACTTGATGCTCTAATCGATGCAGCTGCGCCGAGAGAGCTGGCTGCTTGACGAAGACGATTCTCGCGCACGAAGGTGTGGCCTAAAGCGAGTCCGTAGCCCTCTTTTCCGAGGATGGCTGAGTCCGGCAAGAATACATCTGTGAAGCTCAACGCTGAAGGACAACTGTCAGTATCGTATACATGGTTGATGAAGTCAGAGACTTACTGGTATGATCCGTAGGCATGATGAACGTCTACTGATATGATAGGATTCAATTTTGAGCCCCGAGGTATACTCAGGCACTACGAAAGCTGTGATGCCTATAGTGCCATTCCCGGGCTTCCCATGCGTCCTGGCGAAATCCAAAAAATGAGTCGCTTTATGACTCCCACTAATCCATATCTTCCTCCCACTCGTCACGTGAGATGACTTGGTCGAAAAAGCAGTTGTTGGAGGAATGGAGGATTGGAGGGACGCAATTTTGGTGGTGATAAAGTCACGCTGGGAGGAGGAGAGAGGTAGTTCACGAGGTCGGTCGCTGAGGAGGGAGAAGGACATGGGAGGCGTGATGATGGATGTTTTTAAAGTCACGAGAGACTGAAGAGTGAGATGGGATAGAGTGGAATGGAGATAGTCAGGTATTGATTACATCGAGTGCTGCTTACGGTGATGCATTGAATGAGAAGTATTTCACGTATCGTGTGGTAAGAAGGTCGGAGATATTTGAAAAGAAAAAAACAAAAAAACTCCAAACGGAGTATGAAATACCCCGATGACGAAAACCCTTCCGCATCCAAAAGATAATATGCAGTGACCACTGCCGGGGTCGAACCGGCGACCTTTTCCGATCGAAGCACTATGATTACTCATCCTGCACTGTAAAGGAAACGTGATAACCACTACACCAAACGGCCCTGTTTCAATTGAATGCGGGGTGGGCAAAGCTATCAATATATATATTAATAGAAAGTTTGCAGCTGAGGAGATGCCAAGTTCCAACCTGCCAAGGTGCCAATTTGGCCCCTTTCACCGTGTGACCTTGGTATTTCTTGAATTACATTTATTACACGACATTTGTTTCTCCTTTTCAACATCCATCTTGCCTGCATCTCAGTACCTATACCTATATCTATATCTACAACCACATCTCATCTGATTTGATTTCACTCACCTTGGTTCTAGCTGTCAGTCTGACATAACAATGAGCCACTCCAACGGCCATCAAGCGTCCGGCTCCAATCGGCCAGACCCCACCTCATCCGAAACCCAACCCTTACTCCTCCCCAGCTTCATTCCCCTTCCACAGTCCATCTCAATCCATCCCGATGGCGAGAGCGGCAGAAATGGCTTTCACCCGACGCATTTCGTCCAAGTGCTCTGGAAGAGCTCGAATCAGGTCTCAATGGCGGTCAATTACCTCTGGCCCTTCTCCTTCCTAGCCATCATTATGCATTTTGCAACAACAGACCTCGATCTTTGGGTCTTCGCCGTCAGCTACATTGGCATGATCCCAGCCGCGAACCTGCTTGGATTCGCCGGCCAGGAGTTCGCGCGGAAGATGCCTAAAGTTTCTGGGATTCTGATCGAAACTACCTTTGGATCAGTCGTCGAGATCGTGCTGTTTTTGATTCTGATCATCAAGCACAAAGCCAGCTCCGGCGAAGGGGCTGCGGAGAACGGAAATCTCATTCCCATCATCCAAGCTGCCATTCTTGGATCCATCCTGACCAATTTGCTGTTATGTTTGGGACTGTGTTTTGTCGTTGGTGGTATCCGCTTGCACGTCCAGAAGTTTCACGCGGCTGTCAGCGAGGTGGGCAACGGGCTTCTCTTGGTAGCTAGCTTTGGACTCTTGATCCCGAGTGCATTTTATTCGGCTTTGAAGGGCTCCACGGTTCCTCAATCGGAACCTCACGGGCACCATAGCTTCACGGACAAGAAGCTAGAGCACGATATCCTCGGGATTAGTCGGATTACTTCCATTCTTCTGATTATTGCGTTTGCCATGTAAGTCGCACTCTCAGAGTAACTTCCTCGAAATCGTGTTGTTGACTTGCACTGCAGGTACATCTGGTATAACGCTGTAACCAACCACAGCATTTTCGATGAGGTTCTCGAGCAAGATGAGCACAATGATCTCGACCGCCACGACGATCTGGCTAAGCCCAAATTTACTTTTACCGAGTGCGGCATTGCTATCACCGGCTCCGTTATTCTGGTCACGATCCTTGTTATTCTTCTAGTAAACCGTATCGAGGATGTTGTCGAAGCAGGCATCCCAGATCAATTCCTCGGCTTGATTCTCCTTCCTCTAGTTGAGAAGGCTGCAGAGCATCTGACTGCAATTGACGAAGCCTGGGACGGCCAAATGGTAAGCCACAAGTTGTGTCGCAATTGAAACTGCCCAGCTAATCACAAGAACCCAGAACTTTGCCTTATACCATTGCCTTGGTCCTTCCGTCCAGACTGCCCTGTTCAACGCCCCGCTCGTTGTGGTTATTGGATGGGTATTGGATAAGCCCATGGATCTCAATTTCGAAATCTTCATGATCGTGCTACTCGTGTTGTCAATCGTTGTCGTCGGCAATTTCCTTCGCGACGGGGAGTCCAATGTGCTCGAAGGTGGCCTATTAGTTGTAAGTCGAATTCTGCCCCCTTCACCTTTTAACCTGCTCGCTCACAAACAAAGATTGTGTATTGCATATTGTCAGTCGCAGCATGGTATTATCCAGACCCAGATGTTGCCACGTCAAATGGGCTGGAGTCGGCCTTGAGGTCGGCAAAATTTTGAGCAGTGCATGCACGGTTGAAACTCTGAATCTTTCCATAGCTCGACCCTTCAGGTGTTTTATTGGAAGGCATGTATAGGAAAACTTTAATCAATCTGCATTGGATAACTGGGGGATTCGCTCAGACTGACAGCAACTACTCTTGAGTACGATGACACATGTCACTGACGGTCTTCCACACGGCTCAGCAGCACTACGCTGAGTAATTTACAACCAGATTCCGCTTTGGATTAGGAAGAGTACAGTCCGGTTAAGATACCTGTGCCCGGAATGTCATCATCTCGGCTCCGTTCATCCTTGTCATGAATTGCAACTAACGCATCGGCGAGAGAAGCGATAAGAAACAGCTTACAAATGGTTGAATAGAAGAGGTACAACATTAAGTCTCGTTTGGGTTGGATGAGAGGACTCAGACTTATCTGAACCTAAGGTTCGAATGAGACGCAGCTGCTCGGTCGGAGATACTACAGCGATGGCCGATTCGCCCTCAAGTATTCCATGTCGCACTGCGTACCGGGTACGTGCAGTCAACGCAGAGTATCACACCAACCGTACATCGGTGTGGCCTATTGTTGATGATCCATGAAGGTAGCAACGGGAGACGCGGTGCTGATATGACGTGAGAAAGCTCCAGGCGAGTTCTGTCCGTAAACAAGCTAGCCGAGGCACTGAGGCTCGAATTTTGAACGCCGACAAAATTTAAAGCTGACTTGATATCCTCCATCCCCCATAAAATTCCCATAGATACTCAGTAATTCGATACACCCAGATCAAGAATTCAAAGAGAAAAAAACGACTCACTACATTCAGAATGACGGACGCACCATACCTCGAGCAGCCCGAGCTGCACACCAAGGCACCGTTCAGATCGGCGATCCTCACGTACCCAGGAAACTTCCGCGAGGCTTTGCGTCAAGCTGAGGATCCATCCAAGGTTCTGTTTGGCGTCGCTCAGGGAATCCCAAGTGTGTTCGTCACCAAGGTGAGTCTCAAAGAATGGACCCAGATTTTTGAGCCGAACACTGGTCGCTGACTGCCTCAGATCCTCGCATCCACCAAGCCAGACTTTATCTGGTTCGACGTCGAGCATGCAATGTTCGATAGACTGTCGCTCTACGAGTGAGTCTCCGAGATTCATCTTCCCAGTTTTGACCATGAAGTTAATCGGATTTTCTTTTTTTCAGCGCGGTCCAAGCCGCTCAACACCACTCTGAAGGAAAATCCATGGTCATCGTCCGAGTCCCCGCGAAAGATTTGACCGTCCTGTCGACGGCCCTCGACGCTGGCGCAGCAGGAATCGTGATCCCCCACTGCGAGAGCGCCGCGGAAGTAAAAGCCATGCTGGATGAAATCTACTACCGTAAGCTTCCCCCCCCACCTATCCCCTCGAATCTTCCAAACAAAAATCTCTAACCCAGCGCTTCAACAGCACCCATCGGCAAGCGCTCATTCAGCCCCTGGACTTTCACGCCCGGAATCTCAGATCAATCTCTCTACCAAGGCGACTCCTTCAACATGGGGACTTCCAACCGCCACATCGTCGTTATTGCGCAGATCGAAAGCGTAAAAGGCGCCGAGAACGTAGAGGAGATTGCGGCCCTGGAAGGCATCGGCGCGCTCATGTTCGGCCCTGGTGATTTCATGGCCGATGCCGGACTTCCGATCAAGATGGGTGGCGAGCCTCATCCGATCTTTGCGGCGGCGATGGGCAAGTTCGTTGCTGCGGGCCAGAAGTTCAACAAGCCCCTGTTCGGGTGGGTTTTTATTTATTCCTTCTCCCTTCTGATTCTGGTTGTTGTCTTGACGTGGATGCGGGCTGACGAGAGTTACATACAAGCGCTGCGATGGTTTCGGAGATGGTTCCCATGATGCTGAAACAGGGATACCGGGCGATTGCCGTGGCCTTTGACATGTGGGGTCTGGCCAACGTTGTCCATGGCGGCCTTGTGAAAGCGAGAGGATATGCGAAGGAGGCGGGCGAGGAGAGGGAGAGGGAGAGGGAGAGGGAGAAGGAGAAAGGTGTTGTTAGGCTGATCAACGGCCATGGCAATGGTAAGCCTGCTGCAGAGCCGTAGTGTGCCTGGCAATTCGCGCGGCTCCTGTAACTTTTCCGATCTAGATCCATAGACTAAGCTGGGGTCACGTCTGGTCTGTTTGTTGATTTTTTTTGGGGGGAGGGGGGAAGGGGGGGGGTCTCTTGTTGTCCTGCGGGCGGCACATCTCCGGTAGATAAATTCTACTCTCATTTTCATATTTTTCGTATTCCATCATCGTTTTCTCTTAGTCTCCGGTTATAATCTCCGATTAAAAGAAAGTACTTTGGCGCGGCTGTACAAGAAAACTGTTGGTGTGAACTTCTTGTGCGGACCACCCTCACCGCGCTGCTTTATTGGATTGTTTCAATCGAAAGTAAACAACATTTCCTGCTTTCGCTTCTTTTAAAGCTTGTTAATTGATTAGGGTTGGGTGGAACACATGGAAGCGTAGCAAGCAAGCATGGTCTTTCTAAAATCAGAAAAGGAGATTGCAATACTACGGTAGTAGGTATTAATATTTGATTAGCTAGAAGAAACTAAGGGTGGCACGGAGAGGAAGAATTGTGCTGTGTCTTGGCTCGTGCCACTACTCCTGGGATGCTGCCTTTCATTCATGGGGAGGGGGAAAGGGAGGGACAGTATATTTAGAAAAATCTCCGGTACGTATAAGAACAGAAAGACAAATTCACAGTCGACGCATTGATCAATCGCTTGGGCCGCCCTTCCCTTAAAACCTCCCTTGTAAAGGCTTCTTCATTAAAGGTGTCCGTTCATTAATATTGTCCGACGCCACACATACGATTAGCCGCGGGCTGAGTCATCGGCTTATCCAATTAGATTCAGTACTGCATGCTATCAAAAAAGATAGCAACATTCTCTTGCTCCTTAAAAACAAAATGCTCGGATATTGAGAATTATATTCATAGTCTAAAAGTAACATTGCTATTGAATTCGAGTAAAACAATAGAGTCTGCGTCCAAATTCAGCGCTCTATTAGGCTTTGTATCGATTATATGCCCTTTTGCAGGCAGAGATCCCTCTCTTTCTTGCTGACTTCATGTTATTTCAGCTTCAGCTTGTAATTGAGCTTTATTCTCGAGCAATTAAGGATACTCAATTACACCGTAATCAAAGTGAGTATATTCCAATATCGAATCCATTTGAAATTCCTCTAGCCTTTCTGGCTTCTGCCTTATCTTCCAGTGTGACGAACTGATGAATTCTGACCTTATAGTTCAAAGTGATGAAAGGAAACAAGAAGCTGGACTGAGCCCACGGGTCTATATACATGGCCGTAAGCGCTAGGCCTGAATGGATAATGGATCAACTGATTGCAGTCGACATGGCAGGCTGTCACACTACCCTCTTGGAGAGCTCTCTAAGCTCTCTCAAAAGTATCTGACAGACGAAGGAAAGAGATTCGAAAATTCAAAAATAAAAATAAATTATAAATTTACCGCTAAGTTACAAGGTACGATAGTCTCGAAGATCAGCCTCGTAACCGCTTTCAGCTTTGAATTGTGTTAAAATCTTAGCTCCTTCGTCGAAATCGCTGATCTCGCTTAAACCTTCGTTCCTTCGAATAGATCGACTTAGAGAGGGGGTTAAAAAAGACTCCCTTTTTCGTTATCTTGGCAAAAAGGAAAGAGCAATCAGTAATCTAATGATCAATTGCATTGCAACGGGTACAACGATAAGCTTCGCGCTAAGCTTCGCGCTAATCGAGAGTACTATAAAGAGCATATTAGAAAACAAAGTATCGATCTTTTAATAGATAAGTCTGATCGTCTTCGTATGTACTACGTACTCGGTCTACGTGCTTCAAGGATCAATTAGCTATTCAAACGAGCCAGTATCACTGAGCCCAGACCATTGCGGAATGCATTAACCTCATTTGCCTCGAGCCAAATTTAGCAGCGGGCAGCGTACAAGAGCCGCTTAGAGCGTGGGATATCAGTATAGGTTACAATACGTAATAGCAGTACTTTGCTTGCAAGCAAGAACCTTATTTTTAGCTTCTTAAATCTTGTTGAAATTATTGTATGCGAAGGCTAGTTAGTCGAAAAAGGTATTGTAATCTTACTAATAGCCGAAGTCTCAAGCGAAGGTAATTAATTGTATTAATATTGTCGCTATCTTAAATTGAAGTACACGGAATACTTTCCCCCCTTTAAATAAACGTAATACTGGGTCTTTTCTGGGCCGATTCCAGGGGGTATAGCAGGGGGTATAGCAAAGGGTAACAGTGGATTATGTAATGATTTTAAGCCAATTGGAATAAAAAAAACATCACTCGATTAAGATTCTATCTAGTATGGAGTTAGCCCTCTTTAAGCATCGATTATGGCTTGACAACGCTTCTACTACGATTCGTATAAAGATTCGATATAGCTATCAAGAATAGTGTTTTAAGCCTTCGATATGATTTCTCTTAGTCTTTTAAAAGAGATCAACTGAGCGTTATAAATAAATAGAAAATATCTTTCTTGAATAGAGTAATTTCTTTCGAGCTTATACGTCGTTTTTTTCGGTGTTTAAGTAGCAAAACTAGTAGAAAATCTCTTTGATCAAGGGATCGGTGAATTTAATAACTGGTTGATATCTATTATAGCTATTAACAGATTGAAAACGGGTCGAATGCATAAGAATTCTAAGCAAAAAGAAAGATTCTAACCAAGACGATGGATAAGTGAAGTTAACTGGCCGTGATTTCAATTGGCTTAAAACCCTTGTATACTCTATTATTACCCCTCGCTACGGCCCCTGCTAAGCCCCCTGGAATCGGCCCACAAAAGACCCAGTATTACATTTATTTAGGGGAAGGGAGTAAAATTAAGCTATCAGACCGCCAAGTGCCTCGCGGTCGACTAAGATCTTTGCTTCAATCGAAAGAATAAGCTATAAAAGAGGTATGGATTCCTTGAATTCGATTTATCATCTTCCTTTGCAAGCTTGTTCCCCATCGTCGCTCGCACGATGCTATCATCGAAGTCCACTTGCGCAATCTTGCTAGCCTTGAGCTTTCTATCGAATAGAGCTCAAGGATTTCTCGAATCGGAAGGACAAGAAATCATCGGCTATCGAACAGTTTTTAGAGTAAGTTTTGCTTGATTCAATCGTCGGTTACCTTTTGCTCGGTATTTTTTACAATAATACTCAAAGCGCAACCGACGATTTCATAGAATAAGCTTATACTAATTACGCGAATTATAGGAGGAAGCCGAATTTATCAATTTTGTTCATAGGCCATATAGAGATGATGAATACGATAACGATGATATGAACATCAATGAATTAGGGCATGGCTTTTATATGAGTGAGTTGATTTATATTTATAGATCGTGATTTGTTACGCGAAGCTAATTCTCTAATTAGCAAACGAGCCTGCTGGCTGGCAGAAACATCCAATAAAAGATAATTGGTTTTGTGTCATCAGAATGGATAGTAAGACGATTGCAGATGCGGCCAAAATATATATCCCGGAATCTTATCAAAAACCGACCTGGTTTGGCGGGACTGAGTTAACGAACTTATGGAGCGGAAACGAAAAAGTCATCTTGGAATATATTAAATCGATGATTTCAACAGACCCCAAGGAGGCGTTGCGCTTCTCATGGATCCCAGAGACCGATAAGCAGCAAATGGTCATTCCAACTGATTATTTAAATAACGATGCGTTAGATATATGGGCTCATTGCTATGAAACAAAGGAAGAGCTATATAAATATTCAAGCAAAACCATTGCTTGGGACAATTGGAAGATTACTGGGTCTCCTGGATCGCCGAGCTCTCACTCTTCCAGTTCATAAAAGGTGTCGGACTACAGAGGCCATTGTGGCCGCGTCAGAAATGGAAGGTACGGGAATAGTCTTGGTGGTAGCACGTGCACCCGCGGTTCCTATATGGAACCGCGACCAACCTTCCATAGTAAATCAACCATCAACAAATACAATCCCTAACCAATCGATAAGTCTAGACTTCATCACAACACCTGTGGTACCATCAAATGCTTTCTTGAAACATGCTTTGACTTTGTAATATAATCGGAAGGAAGAGCATACACCCCATCCCCAAAGAGGAGATCTAACAGATAAACAATGGTTCTACCCTTGTGCTAAGCAGTCAAACTTACACTCCGCTCGTGTATAGAGTTGGCAGTGAATATTTTTGCATTTCTGTCGTATTTTGAGGCTTATACCCCTCTTTTTTATCTCTTTCTAATTTGATTCGCTAATCGTCCCCCCCCCCCAAAGAATGTTTCCGGGCATTCATTTCTCCTGCACTTGATTCCACCTTTGGGAAACCCAAAACATTGTTTTCACCCGCCGCACTGCTGCACGGAGAAAACTCAGCCCTAAAACCCCGATCCTTCGAGATGGGAGCCGGGAAGGGATACCTATCCCGCACTACGTTCTTATGCTACGTACATACATACCCCAACCAGGATTCCTCTCCACCCGGGGACTCTCTCTGAGATCTACAGAGCATTTCCTTTCCACACACACATACATACCAGCTTCTCGGCGTCTCGACTTCCCGACATCTCCCTACCTTTCGCCAGGCCCCAAACACCTACCTACCCGCCATAGAAGTTCTTAACTTGGACCGATCCCCCTTGTGGCCGGCCACACCGTCGTTGGTGTTAGTTCTCCCTCACCCCTCCTCCTCACTTACCGCCAACCCCCTCCCCGAGGATAAAGCATACGTGGATAACCAACCGAATCATACTACATCACGGTAGCAAGACCCAGTAAGTGCGACTGACTATGTACTGTAATGAACGGAGTTGCTTGATAGGTAGATAAATAGCCTTCTTTTGCTCTGTTCCGCTTACATCAATCACCTCCAATATTACGCAACTACGAGGCCACTCACCCACTGTACGTGCCGAGTATAAGTGCAGTACTATACCAAGCGGGCAATGAAGCTCCAATCGATCTCAGCCATGACCGAGCCCAGAAAGAAGAAGAAGAAGAAGAAAAGAAGGGGCGACGTCCATCAATGAATATATATATATATATATATAGGAAGAGTACATATGTGCGTACCCCTTTTGAAGCTTCTTGGAACAGCTAAGGTAAGTATATAATCTCGGCCGAAATGGCGCCAACACCCTTCTAGTCCTGTATATATGCATATATGTATATATGTATATATGTATCATGGAATCGTCCTCATCCGCGATACCAACTCCGGTAGGTTTTTCACCCAGCCGCACCCTGCGATCCCGATCCCCTTTTGCACATATGACGATACAAACATACATACATGATCCATTTCGTGTGCACTTGGCGCAACTACGCCGCCCAAACCACCCCCCACCCCCAAAAAAAACACCTAAAAGTCTAATGATCTGCGCTTTGAACTTTCCATTCAAATTGATAGAATCAGGAGTGCAGAAGGTGTAGTAAATTAGGTGTGAGAGTACTGAGAGCTATAGTAAAGGTGTAAGCCAAGAGACCAGCCAAGAGGCTAGTCCATACAAGGGGAATACAGGCAGAACCCCAATATTCCAACACAAATCACCGATTCTTATCATCTGCATTTCCTCCCATCCTTTCCTTTCCTGTGCTTCAGAAGGGCACCTTTGCTTAGGATATCGGTTTCAACTTCATGCACATCACGTAACAAAAGAGGTCTGAACTTTGAAATATCGACTTATGTGTGTGTATCAAAGTAAAATGATCGGCCTCAAATCTGCCCGAGTCCGGTTTCTACGAAATTATATTCAGCGGTCAACACGATACGGTAAAGTGAAAGTTCCAAGGATCGAGGACTAAGCGAATGTGCTTCCTGGCGTTGGAAGGGACAGAACTTGTTACAGAGGTGCCTCGCAATATTTTGATGCAATATCCTACTAGAATTGGAACCAGCTTGCAGCTTGGAAATAATGCTAGCACCTTGTAAAATCACAATTGACAATATAGCGGAGTGCAACAACAACATGTTGTTTGGAATCCGAAAAAGGGAAGAGACTGATAATTTTTATCCAAAAATTTGACGCCAAGACCTGGAACATGGTAGAGCGTTGCTTCAATGGGCAGGTACTTCCCGCATCGTTGTTTACAACCCGCTTAAGGACATTTGTTCCCCCTTGTCTCTCAAGAACGTGGCGACCATCATTCTTCTCTGTCGTATCAATTGTTTTCTCTAGGAAATTGCAGGCAGAAATACCGCACAGAGCAAACCCAAGCTGCATGAAATGGGCATCCATTCTATGAATCGTTTCAGTATCGCGCGACACCGCGGCCGCCAGAAGTCTAGTCGTAAGTCATGATTCAAGCTGCCGTTCTATCCGCTGTCGGTTCCGGCTTCCCATCCCTCTCAGGCCTCGCATAGAATTGCGGTTGGGTCCATTGATGCCAACTGTTTGGAGCTACAATCATATTTAGTTAGTTGCATAGCCTTGAAGTATCAAGGACTAAATTATTACCTTGCAGGATGTATCTGTTCATGGCTTCGCGGAAGCGACTCTTGTATTCCTGTAAAAATTGTAAGCACTGCTTAGAATTGTGATTAAGTGGTGACTTGCCTTTGGAGATGTTACAGTCGGCCGGTTGCGTCCACCACCGGCGAAACCACGATCTACCTAAAGTCAGCTATGAAACAGAGAAAAAGAGTACTGTGCAAGGTGCATACCTTTAATCCATGATTCGAGCTTCTTATCCCAAGTATAAGTCCGGACGACATCAATAATCCCCACGACGAGTTCCTTGCGCGCCTATTTGATATCAGTAAAGATGTAGAGATCAGTGTGGGTAAACTTACCTCGTCCACAGCCACCATCAGGGAGTAGTCCATCACATCGTTCCTCTGCAAGAATAAAGTGTCGTTGAAAATAGCAGATCGAAGAAGCTTTTTAGAATGCTGATATCAAGTTAGTAAGCGAAAGAGAAACTCTGCGAAGAAATTACCTCGCGAGCAAAAAGAGGCGACTCATAGATAAATTCAACCATGTTCTCATCGAGAAGCACTTCGTTCTGCTCACCAGTCGACTGAATCTTGCGATTGCGCATCGAGCCCTTGAGATCAAAGATACGAGTAGGCGAACGATCGTAAAACAGGTTCTCCATGACCAAGACGTCCCATTTGATCTCAGTCCCGGTGACGGGATTCTTGATGACGATTTGGTAGAAGCCTAGCATTTTCGCAATGACCGTTGGAAGATCGTGGAAGAGGGCTTGAGCCATAATTTCGAAGTATGCCGGAGCAAACTTGAGGAAAGCTGCGGTTTCGACCTGCGAGAGTGATTTGATCACAAGCCTATCGTCCAAGGTCTTTAAGAAAACTGATTTAGTTTTCCCACCCTTAGAATCCCATTTCAAGCACCGAGACAAAGATTCGACAATACGATCTGAGACGCCACATTTCCGACGAACCGCATCAAACTGCTCCGCAAAGAATACTTTGCATCTCATTTGCGCCGAGCCATCGGAGAAGTTGTATGATAAGTGTGTACCGGTGGCCTGAAGCAGCGCCGTTTCCACCTCTGTCTGATCCAGGCCATCTTCGCAGAAGTCTGATGTGTTGTCCGGCTCTAAGGGTGGCTGCTGATCCCCTTTCGCGCTAGCCTCGCGAAGATGCACCAATCTCTTCTGATAGTCCGGAGTTGACAGGGTGAAAGCGATCAGTGAACTGGGCTCGTCCTCTCGTACAATAACGTCCACATCTGCAAATATGTGGTCGCCGGCGTTGACAGGATATTCGAGAGGGGTCCATCCACTTGCGGAACGTTCAGCCCAGAAGTTGGTCAATATTTTCATCAGACTTGATTTCTCATGCTTGGGTATCTCCAGAGGAATTTCGGCATTGGGTTTTCCTGCACCTAGAGACTCCGCAATCTCAGCAATGCCAGGAATCATGTCCAGCATCGAATGGTCCACGTCACTGGCAGCACCCTCATCATCGGATCCTGCTTGGCTGGCATTCTGCTGATTGTCATCAGTCTCGGCCGTTCCCTCATCTGGAGTAGCAGCAGTATTCGTTGGCGAGTCTAGTCCAGGCTCATTTGTAGTGTAATCCGTATTGAGGTCCGCGAGTCCATCGACGACACTTGTAGGGTCAGCATCAGGGTGTGTGGGCTGAACATCCGACACAGCCTCATCGCTTTGTCCTCTTTCCTCAACAGCCTCATTGACGTCTTTATAGACTTCGACAATGGGCTTTGAAGACGCTTTTGGAAAAGCTCTTGACTGGGTGACCTTCGCAGCTCGCTGTTTTTTGTCTCGCATGCGTTCCTTTTCAAACTCGCGGCTAAGTTGTTCGAAATGCTTCGCCAGAGCCGATACTTTGGTCTCCTTACGTTTGCTATTTACAGATCGTGGAATGAGGGAGTGGCCCGCCTTTCTATGTGCCTTTATTGAGCCGATGCCCAGCCTTTCAGAAAGCTTCTTGTCCGTTGGCCTCAGAGGATCTGTGGTCGAAGGCTTCAGGGAATCGAGGGAGGGTGTTGAGCTATCTTCAATAGTGTTGGTTTCCCCATTCTTCGTACTTGATCTGCTCCCAATCGGCAAGCGGCGCAATGTCCCAGCCGGATGTGATTGGGTGCGATTTATGGGTGGAGCGATAGCCATGCCATTCCTTCGGGATGGCTTTCTCTCGGATGGCCGTGGTATACCGGATATTTCAGACGACATTGATGGTTCGCCGGAGCTGTTTAGATGCGCTTTCCGGAGCTTTTCTACTTTTTCGGAGAGCGTTGATTCCAAAGGAGACGTGGAGACTTCGGCTCCGGAATTCGCAGAGGCTACAGGGCTTGCTGACAAGCAAGGGTCAGAGGACAAGGCATCCTCCGTCAAGGGCTGTTCAGTTGTAGTGTTGGGGATTGGAGCAGCTAGATCGAGGTGATTGATCCCGTCACGATCTAAATCGAGAGCTTCTGGTTGCGACAGAGGGGCGTCTGAGGACATCTCACCGTCAATAGGTATAGAAATGGGCGTAGTTGGGTTTTCTTCTACCACTGATGCCAGAACCTCTTGTACTTCCTCGGCGGATGCATTCGAAGATTTTCGCGTTAATTCCAAAGAGGTGCTAGGAAACTTTTCATCGACCTCAGCACCAACATCTGGCGCTTCTGTTGCGATGGATGTCGTTGACTCGTCCCGGTCGATAAACATCTTCTTCAGTTGGAGCGCTGCAAGCCTTCTGATGTCTTTCTCGGAAGGGAAGAAGTTGGCATCGAACTCGGCGAACGCATCATCCCATTCTGCAACCTTCTCTTGCATCGCTCGAATTGCTCTGTTCAGCGGGATGATCTCATAGTACTTTGAATCCATGTATTTTTCTTGTAGCTTCCGGATAAGTGAAGCATGCTCGTCCTGTGCACGTCTCATGAGGCTCTCAACTTCTGCTTTGCAAGCCTCGGCCTTTTCCGGGGCAACACTATCAATGTTGATGCCTTTGATTCTGGAAAGAACGGAAGCCATGAAACGGTTCCATCTTTCTTCGCTCTTCGTGAACAAGTCATTCTTTAACCTCAGGTCGTTGTCGACTTTCCATGTGATTCTTGTTCGGGGAACTACAATTTCGAGAAGGTCGATAGGATCGTAGTGAATCCGAATTGCCACGTTTCGATAGCCGAAATAGCGTAGATGGTCTCGATGAATGTCGTGAGGACAGAATCCGGCCCGAAGTCGAAGCTCGCTGCTCCAGAATGAAAGTTCTAGATATTTGCCCAGCGAGTACTTCCACGTACTCTCGGACATCGGCATGACTTGAGTCTCTTTCTGGCAGATCTTGCAATAGCTCCACATGAGGATAGAGTCTTGCAGACCCTTGATCTTACAAGGTGACTTCTCAACGAAAACTGTGATACGAGCCTCGCCATGCACATAGGTTCTATGATGATCGGTCATCTTACGTTCGCAGCCGTTAGACGTACAGACCGTGTTGACACTTAGGCACAAATCTTCTACATACTGGCCCAGTGTGCAGTCTGAATCGTACTCCGAGTGTTGGTTATAGAAAACGAATGCAACCAAGTCTGGTCCTGAACAAGGGATTGTAGTTGCCGTACACACCACTGTGTAGAGAACCGTAATGGTCTGGTGTGCATAAGGATCAAAGAGATTCAGATTCGATTGGATGTAGGTCTCCCACTGCCGTTTCTGGGTCTGGTAGTTGTGCAGGGCTTTGTCGTATTCTGCATCATGGACCGCATGGAGAACTTCCATTATTTGGCGCGGTGCTCTCTTGACTGTCTCATGAACCATCTCTGGTCTGATGAGCTGGAATTTTTGAGGCTTCGATTTCTCAGTGTCAGTCTGCTCTTCGAAAGTATCCTGGTCACGCAGCCTCTTGAGATAAGAAAGCCTCTGCTCCTGTTGACGAGATCTCATTAGTAGATAGGGTTGTACAAATTTGACGAAGGGCGATGCAGACAAGATTTTCGTCCGATGCTTTGCTACCATGTCACTGTAGAAAGTTGGCATCGGAATGTCTTCAGGAATTTGGTCTTCGTGAGAGCCGTGTGCATGTGATGCATGTGCGGAAACGTACTTTGATGGCTCAGTAGATGTCACAGATTTGGTTCCGTTCGAAGGCTGAGACACAGCTGCGCTGCTTGCATCATTTGCTATACTTGATTGGCTTGCAAGTTCATCTGTTGGAGGATTGACCTGGTCGACCATCCCCGCGTCAGCGACTGCTTGGAGCTTGTCAGTAGCAGCGGCCAGAACATGCTCCGGACCACCAAGTTGCGTCGCATGAGTGGCTTGTTGCCGGCTCGGTGAAGTACTTCCACTGTTCTCAGCGATTGATGGAATGAGTACAAATTCATCTCTCATCAAACATGTCTCCAGCTTGAGGTTGTACACCACATAGACCATGAACTCGGCAATCGTCTTCATCTTGGTCAGGGTGGCCATGTCAGCACCTCGGAGCGCGATCGTACAGCCAAGTTCCTTAGGGCAGCCAGACAGGTATATGTAGCTCTTCTTCCGACCTGGTATATCCTTATGCACATAAGTCTTGACGTCGAAGCCGGCACTCCTCCCGATGTGAACCGGGTTCAGGGCGACCATATCAATCGAGGAAATGATCTCTGTCTGAGCAAACCGTGAGACTGCTTCAATGACAGATTGCTTTACGTTGTAAGCTACGGCAATATTGGCCTCTTCAAGATACTGGAGTGCCAAACCAGATATGTGCTTCTGGACTAGAAGAAGCTGCGGTCGAAGGGATGCAATGCGGTTGACCATATTCTTTAGGAATTCCTTCTCCTGAGCAATGACTGGCTCCAGACTCATGAAATGATTGTGATGCCTCGAATACTCGATAGGAAATGAGATGATCACAATTCGTGGATTCGATATGCTCCGGGGCATACTCTTAAGAGCGAGATTCTTTGAGAAAACGATACCGGAGACGTATGCCGTGTCTCCAGGTTTTCCACCAGGTATCTTCTTCAACTTTACGTAGTGGCAGATATCTATATCATCACCGAATCGGACATTCGGATTGACGTCGTCAGTGCACTGCAGGAGGATAGGAACCAGGGCTTTCTCCCAAGCTGAGACATTCGGTATATTAGCATCTTCCAGCAATTGATGTAACAAGCGGCGAACGTGATGCAAGCTCGCATTATTCAACTCTATAGCTGGCGCTTTGCTGTCCCTCATGGAAACACTGCGTATCATTCTTGATGGCCCGATGTTCACATTGGAAGATATATCGTCGACGCTGGCAATATCTTCGTCTAAATTACCAAACCCTTGAACTGGTTGCCTTGGAGACGTGCGGGAGAGATGTTGATTGTTGCTGGCAGCGCTGAGATTACGACGACGATTTGGCCGGCTGTATCCCCCCATAGAAACACTCCCACCAACGTCGTCTGCGCGACTTGTAAAGCTGATGCCACTGACGCTCTTGTCACCATTTCTTGCCCGATGCTTCTTGCCAGCACCCAAGAGCGAGCCAAATCCAGATCTATCATTCTCAAAATTTGGACTGGCTATAGACCCGCTGTTCATCATCGCATAAATGCTCGGCTGCTCTTCCTCACTAGACTCTTGATCGGACATATAGGGCGCTATGTCAGGATCGATAATATTGTCGTCGTGGAACGCTGGCAGACGAGACTGCTTGCTCAAATCCTCCGTTATGCCCCCCTGAAATGGGGCTCTTTCCCCCGCAGTTGTTTTGAAACGACCTAAGAAGTTGTGTTTCGAATGGTGCCTCTTATGGCCAGATGAGGCAGGGCGACCAGCAGCTGACAAAGCCTTAAGAGACCTGGATGAGCTGGGACGGCTCAGTTGTGGGGCGTCGATCTCAAGGATTGCAGATCTGCTGTTTGAAGGATCGCCAATTCTCCGAGTCGCCGGTATAGCCATCATAGGGGTAGCCAGCGGTCTCGGCGTACCCTCTGTGCTTGCCAGCTCTCCTTCTTTTACGTTTCCAAGTGCCCCTGTAGATCCAGTGCGTGTTGAGGCATCATATTTTGCCTGCTGAGAATGGTAGAAAGAGGGCAAGGCAGAATCATCATCTGAATCTTCCGACCCACTGCTATCATGGCGGCGAGTAATGATATCTAGACAGGTCCTGCAAACCCGCAATGTACCTTGAACGCCAAATTTTTGACCATCGACGATACTGGTACACTTGGCATCAAAAATGCACCCACAAGTTCGGCAGTGATGCTTCCGCCGGAAAGCAGAAAACGAGTCTCCGCACGAGAAACATTCTTTGCAAATCTCATCCTTCATCCAAAACTCTTTGCTTAACACCTGCTTTCTCATTCGCTCAAGCCTCGCATTGACAGCTTCCGGGGCTCCTTCGTTGGTTGTTGTACCAGGAATACGAAGTCGGCCGAGATAACCTCGTTGGGGTGGATCGTCTACCGCAAAAGATTCATGACGTACGCTGTTATGGGCAGATGTGGTGATAGGGCTCGCCTCAGCAGTACTGCGGTCGGCTGACGACGCTCTTGAAGCTGGGTAGCCAGGTAAATGAGATTGCGCAATGCGTTCAATGGCAGCAGGACGTTTAGCACCATCCGATGTCAATAGGGACGAGGGATTCGCTCGGGAAAAGTCAGTCGCACGCAGCGATGACAAGGCCGACGATGCAGTTTTTGTGCTTCCAGCCTTTTTCCCCTCCTCAATACTACCGTCTCCGCCCATGAAGTGACGGGCTGGGCGAGTCTGTGGATTTGCGAGACTCATTCTAGCCTCATCAAGGTCGTTATCCGAAGCCTCCGGCTCATCCACAACTGAGCCTTTGGTGGCTCGTCTGCTCTTTGGGTCGAACACCGATGTAGCCATGTTTTCATGCTTACCTGTGGCAAGAGATGGTAGGGATTCAATCTTCTGGCTCTCTACGTTGTTGCGTTCCGTATCTCCGTCCTTGAATGCACTGACATTCACGGCAGCTAAAGTTGGCACAATAACCGAAGATGCAGTTGCCTTGGTCATTGGCGTGATCGGGGGCCTACCCGAAGTTCCAGATTTAGATGCCGTTGGAGTAGTAGCGGGGGTGGAACCAAGCGACGCTTTGGAAGACTTCATGATTTGAGACTGAGTTTCCGAAAACTGTGCAGCAAAGGAAGAGCTCGTGGGCGATTGGAGACGGGAAGATGTTGTGGACGGCAGAACCGGGGATACCGTGGTCCCAGACTCTTCCCTTGTTGGAGCCACCGACCCACGGGAAGTAGGAGTTGCAACATTCTGGCTTTTCAGTGACGCGGTTTCGACACTCTCAGGGTCTGCTTTGCTTGCTGAAGTAGAGCCGGCCTTGTCTTTGGCGACTCCAACAGCACCTCGAAATCTGCTGTACAGTCCGCTGAGACCATTTTGCATAATTTCCCCAGCGATGCCTTTGCTCTCGGTATGGGTGGAAGACGGAGGAGGAGATGTGAACTCATTGAAAGTGGTGAGCGTCTCGGAATGACTGGCAGTGCTATGTATCTTGTCCAGAGCTTGAGCCAGTTGTTCCTTGTCGATGGGAGCTGAGCCAGCCAGAGAAGCAAGGGAATTGCGGCGAGAGCGAAATCCTACTGTAGAAGGGGGACCTATCGAGGCCCTGGGAGAGTCGTGAGAAGAAGACATGGTCAAGTTTCGAGGGGACAATGAGATCGTTCTGTTGTCTGCTGTGCTAACAGAGCTCTAGAAGGGAGGTTCCGATGTGCCGCCAGACCGGCTATCGTGGTAGAGGATCATGTCACCGAGTCAAAGACCGGAGGTTGCGGCTTCGTGAATGTGTGGTTTAGCATGGCAGTCTTCTTGTCTTGACTTGACGGTCAGCCAGATAGTCTGCTGATGAGGGGCAGGAGCGAAGGAAAGGAGGCAGGCATCGAGAAACTGGAAGGATAGGTAGCTGGGTATGAAAATACCTAGGTATAGGTGGTGATATGCTCTGCTAGCCTTCTAGAGGGGGGCACTACCGTAGCTGCTACGAGGTCTTGTGCAGCATGGCGCGGAGGGAAAGACTTTGGTTAAGGTTGGCTCCGCAGAGGTGGGCAACGAGGTAGAAGGCGGCGGCGACTATGTCCCGTTTCACTTGGGGTTGCTGGCTATACCGTAGAAGAGTAGGAGCGAGAGTGTGGCAGTGCGTTAGGTTTGATCTGTGTTGTTTACTTGCCAGTGGTAGGTAGACGGATAAGTACGTATATAGAGCAAGGCTCTAAGATGCAGTGAGACCAATAGCGCGCCTTGTGATGAATGATTGCGGAACGCAGATGCAGGAGTGTGTCTAGCCAGGCTGTAGTGTATACGTATACATCTAACGCCAAGTCTTGCAGCCTTACCTTCGTTTGTCAGCCTTGCCGCGTCGCGTGCACTTTACCACAAGTCCGACACGACACGTCTTCCCAGTCACGCTTTTGGCTATGAAAGACACCACCTCCAGGCAGAGAGTAGCTCAGCCACCGTGGATATTACGTTTCTCCTTTGCATCGCGATCGAATGTTGAGCCGGCTGCTACCGTAATGAACTCACGACAATGGCTTCGGCGCTGCGGAATCCTTGGATCCATCTCTTAATCGAAGAGCAGCTTACGGCTGCCTTCGAACAGTTCAAGGACGTCCTCGTGCCTGGTCAAGATCTACAAATGGGTCACTGTTATTATGAACGCAAATCTGGTTCGATAGTGATTCAGCAGAATAAGGCCAGACAAGCCCAGTTCCTCGCGGCAAGTGGTATTCTTCCACACAAGTGATGTGCGGTGCTAATCTTTGGTCAGGTGCATGGAAAGCCAGGGGAACAGCCTGAAGGCTATGCTATCTCGGATGGTACCCATAAGATCTGTGTCGCCTTTGACCTGGCTGCTACGGATGCTTTCAGGAACAAAGATGGCCGGTCTGTTTACGAGATACACCGAGGCATCATTGTCCTTGGAAAATATGACCTTGTGAGCTGAGAAATATTCAATTTGATGCTCGTAGACTAATTTACTTTATGGATACTCGATCCTACACTGGATCCAGCGGCACGGCTGAGTATGAGAGTGCACGAGTTCAAATTGCAGGGTGGCGAGGGTTCACAGCAAATTGGGCGACCTGGCAATGTGTCAGAACATGAGAGGATCAAAGTTCTGCTTGGCAAGCTGGAGAACCTATTTGCTGGCGCTGGGACCCTTGCTCAACCACCACCCTCCACAATCCGCTCCCAGGAAGACGACGCATCAGATGAAGTCGTTCCGTCCCTATCTAATGATACTCAGGCTGGATTTGCAACCCAGGTAGACTACAGGAAAGAGAATCGCAGACATGATCAAGAGCAGCTATCGAAGAGAGGCACAGCAGACTTAGCGGCCATTTTGAAGAGTAGAGCTGCCCAGATCCCAAACATCAGAAAGGCGAATGGTAATGACAGCAAGTCGTTGAGTCCTCTACGGTCATCCGACAGCTCTTTCGACAGCCGGAGCATAAGGACCATGGAAAATGATATAGCACCGTCCAACTCAAACTTGGACCACAATGAAAGTGAGAGTAGCCAGGAAAACACAAAAAGCCTGGAAATTTCAGCCCCACAGCTGCCTCCAACTGTTTCACAACCTGCCGAACTCAATGATCCAAACAAACTCCCGTTGTTCGTCGACCAGCTCCAGCAAGACAATCCTTTCGAAGGGCTCAAGCGTATACCCCGCCGTTATGTAAGAATTCCTGGAGACCAAAAGGTTTTGTTAGAAAGCCAAGACAGCTGGTTCAAGCCAAATTTGGACGGCCGTCCTCGGTACGCCGCAATTCCTGCTCAGGCTCTTAGTGACGTAACGCGGTTCATGGATCGGGATCGAAACGCAATACTCCAGAAAAGCCAGGGTAGCAAATTGGCCAGTAGCTCGTCCGGGTCAGTGGAAGATATCGAGCAGGGCTCCGCTGCTGAAGAAGGCTCATCGGAGAGTGATAGTGATAGGGCTGAGGATATGGATCAGAGCAATAGAAAAAGTCAGGCCAAGCTGCAAGTAACAAGCAGGAACTTCTCCTCCAGTGGACCAGATATTGTAGAGGATGTTGACGAAGAGGACGACGATGATTGCATGTCTTGGTCACCCTCTCCAGAGCCAGAAAAAGCCATTTCCCAGCAGCTTGCCAAACCGCAAAGATCAAGTGGCAATCAGTCAAGCCAGATGACAAATAGCTATGGCGGAGCTCCACAACCGTGGAAACCTGGACCAAAGACTTTTGTTCGGAAGCCTATCGACATCCCTCCGAGTAGTCCCACAGGTGTAGAGGAACTGGAGCTGGCTCCGATACATGCCATAGGAGACGTGATCGAAGCTGGGGACGTGCAGGAAGGAGCTCGTCCGGATTCCTCGCAGGAACTGCCTTCCTCACATTCTCGGAGCTCAAAGTACGTTCAGGTAGAGCAAACGCCACTCTCGAAATCCCGCACGCCCGGCCACGCACCATCTCGCCAGAGTTTGACAAGGGGGCTGGATGCAGAACAACACGCCTCAGGAAATATCTCGTCCGATCCAATTATCCCTGCAACTTTTAATGATACCAGTAGCTCGAGCAAGCATGTGTCGAGCTCAACAGAGCAGAAAGAAACTGAAAAGATCACGGTGGCTCTTCCTACTTTGGATCCGGATTGTACACCACTCCGCTCCCAAATAAGTCCTAGTAGCATCTCGAGATCGAGAGAGGACGAGAGTGGGCTGCATGTAGGTATCGGTTACTCAAATGAACAATCACCCCACGCCATAGTCAGCGCTCGAAGAATGGACCCTCCAAGAAGGCTTGATATCCTTCCAGCCAGTTCTGCACCAGCTCCGCCTGGCAATCAACAAATGCTAAACAGTTCTCAAAACCCTACATTTTCACAAAGCATTCCAGCTTCCTCACCGCCTGGTCTGGTTTCTAGCCAGATCAATGAAGCCGAGCAGCAATGTGCATCTACAGACAAGATTCCGGGTGTCCCGAAGCCATCAAAAAAGCATCGAGCGACTGGGTCGGATATGATAACTGAAAAACGTGTGTACAGCAAGTTGAATCGCTCAATGCGTCCCATAGCCGAATCTCAAGTGGAAATGAACCCGGAAGCCGATATGGAAAGAAATCAAAGGATCCGGCGAGAAATTCAACAAGCGATACAGGAGGCGAACAGGATTGTGGCAGAACAGAATGCTGCCAATACTACCGAGTCTATTGTAGACGAGGAAATTCCTGCCGAGGCACATGGTGGTCCAGGCGATTCAGCCAGGTCGAAGGACGCCCGCAAGGCTGTTCCTCTTAAAAACTTCAAAGAACTGCTCTACAGCACTGAGTCTGAAGAACAAAACAACGCCGGAAATGCTCGCCGACCATCTGACCGTCAAACCACGCGATCGCTTGCACCAACAACTCCGATAGAAGTGGGTGTTCGGGGGGCGATTACCAAACCATTTATTGATGCGCAGCCGAGAAGGAGCAGTAAACCTGAACTGGTGCAAGAAGATGATATCGTTGAGCATCAAACACCTCAGAATTATGACGAAAGACCGGAGCCCTCAGCAAATGACATTCCTCGAAGAAACGAGATTACCCCTGCGGAGGACGCCGCGTTAAGCGATACGGTTCAGTCCATATATGATAGATACAAATCGCACTATCCAGATTATTGCGGCAACGAGTGGTGTTTTACCAAAGCGTTGGTTTACATGGAATGGATGGAGGAATCAGGCAATGGCCTCCATCGATTTCTGTGCGACGACTTCTTAAGAGTCTACCCGGAATATGAGGCGACCATCATCAAGCTTTCTCCTGAAAAGAGAGTAACAGGCCGAGTTTACTACAACAAGAACATTCAGAGACCAGTGTATCAGCAAGGTATCATTGTACCCGAGAACTTCTCGGCTGACCTATTAACACTCAACCAGAAAGATGTTGAGAAAGTCAGAAGCAGGTTCAATACTCCAGCGCCCGTAGCCGAGTCGAAGGGGCAAGCTGTCTCGCCGGTAACTGCGCCTGTTGAGCACGTGGAGGAGACTATTTCTGCGACTCCTTCCCCATTAAGGGCCCAAGTGCTTGGTCCGGGGCAGCCTAGTCCTATATTGGGCTGTTCCGACAGGTTCGTACGCCCACACGCGAGGGAGAGATTTTTCGAGACTCCAAGCCAATTACAAAATACTACCAACCAGCCTGAGTTGCCGGCCGATTCGGAGGCAAGCGTGAAGACGACTAAAACAACTAAGCGAGCCCTCCCATGGATTCCAAGTAACCCGGCGCAGAAGTCATCTCTACCAGAACGACCAACTCAAATCCGCCCTAGAAATGGATCCTCGGGAAGCACAAAGCGACAACTCACAACTGACCAGTCCCGTCGAAAAACACTACCTCCCTATTTGCGAGCACAGACTTCGAAGTCCTCGCCCGCTAACAGAGCAGAGGAGGAACCCAGACCCGTCTCCCGAGATCGCACATCATATAAAGCACCTTCCGGCCTAAGCTCGGAAAGTGCATTCCTCGCTGCAAGCTCCTCTCCCGAAATTCACGGCTTCACTGAGCGATGGGTTGCCGACCTTCAATTATCCGAAGGAGCACTTGCGGGATCAACACAAATTGCACCACCCGCCCAACCTGTCAAAAGAGACGCCTTTAAGGAACAATTACAGCCCATTAGGAACTCGAGCGGACAGTCTTCAACAAAAAGAGAGCCACGCCGTAAATTGTCCTACGCTGATTTCGTGGCTCAACAGGTTCTGCGGAGGAGGGCCAGTGGTGGGTTGTCATCGAGAGGTAGTACGCCGAGGAAAAGCACTGGGTTTTGTACGACGCCAAAGGAGAGGGACCCCAAAGTGTTTAAGGAGCCGGAGACGCAGCCTTGGAATTGAGCACCGGGGAGACTATATTGAATATTGGGCGTTTGAGTGGGAATTTCGATAGAGGCATAGCGTGGAGTGCTTAGCTGAATGCAGAGTATCGGTATATGTAGGACAGCAGTAGTCATAGTTTCGGCAGAGTTTGTTTGCGAGTGATACCCATCGCCAATTTTGCACACTCCACTTCCCAGCCATACTTTGATCGCATATTTTGGCAGTTTGGCAATTACTGCATGCCATGGGTATCTGTTATCGTCTTCTCCCTCCCTATTCATACACCTCTGACCATACTCTCCTAAGCCTTCCCGGTACTAGCAAAACGCCCCCCCTTCTCTTCCTTCTCTCTCTCCTCTTGTTTCCTCTCCTCCTCTAGCGTCCTCGTTCTCTGCAGAAAAGAATCCAGTCAGCACTACCATCCCGAAGCATTTGACCCATGCAATCCCCGCTGCCGGTCCTCGACGGCCCTTGGCCCCTCTCTTCTCCAAGGCACCAACCACCCCTCCAGAAACACAAAGAACCTACTTACCAACTGCAATGCATGTATGCCCCCCTCCCTCGCCATCTCCTCCTTCAGCAGTGCATACACCATGCGGTGCCGCGCGGGTTGCATCTTGCCACCGAAGGCCTCGCTTGTGATGACGACGCGGAAGTGCGTCTCCTGCGACGTGCTGTCGCGCATGGCCTTGTGGTGCGAGTGCAGGTGCGAATCGTTGTGGATTTCCAGGGTCGAGGGAGCGAGGGCGGCTGTGATCTTATTGCGATGTGTCAGCTAGAATACTGGGCGGAGGGTGGGAGGGGGGACAGAAATGGGATGAGTACTTTTGAGCGCATGGCGTCTTCCATAGGCGTTTGAGAGAGAGGGGAGGAGGAGGCCATTCTGCTGATGGATGTGTAATTGGGAGTGGACGTAGATGAGGAGGGAGGAAGTGGTCGCCGTGCGAAAGCCACTAGGGACCTGCGCAGCATCAGGTGGATGTTTTGATATCAGATTCGGCCTTCGATGCCCAGGCGAGATGAGACGAAGTGTTGCAGTAGAGAAGTGGTGCGTGTTTGTTTGTATCTACCGAGCTTGGTCAATCAGCCTCGCGTGAAAGAGCTCGTCCTCGACCAATCCTCGGCTATGCAGGTCAGCTGTGGCCCAGCCTTGCCTTCGGCCTTAACTTAAATCAACAACCGAAGCGAAACAGAAGCAGTTCATCCCACACCCAGGATGACCACACATACCCTGGCTCGGTCGCCGATAAGGACGTCTCCCCCTCTCTCTTTTCCCTTCTCAATATGCATTCGTTGAGAAGCACCTTTTACAAGCTCCCCCGATCATCCCTCAAATACTCGCAGTCCTCCACACGATTCGCCTCGCGATTTAATACTCCACGAATATATCTCAGAATGGTATCAACGCTCCCCCGCCTCCCCATCTTCGAAGCCATTGCGAAACACGACCCTCAATCCACAGTCGTCGTCCACTCCTCGTCCGGCCGCCGCTTCAAGTACGGGGAATTGCTGAAAGATGTTGCGGACGGGAGAGATCAATTGGTGAAGGAGGCGGGTAAGGGGGTGGAGGGGGAGAGGATAGCTTTTCTGGTGGAGAATAGCTATGATTACGTAGGTGGGGATTCCAACCCATTATTCTACCGTACATTGTCCCCAATCGCTTAGAACATCTGTTGATTGGATTTTGTTGCGTAGTAACGTTGCTGTCTATCATGGGTGCGCATTCCATTGCATTGCCGCTGTCACCAGCGTTCCCTGCGAATGAGCTGCAGTATATTCTGGATCAGAGCCAGGCGTCCATGCTGCTCTCGTCGAGAAAGTTCGAGGCGAAAGCTGCAGAAGTGTTGACGCAGGAGTTGGAGGCTAAGCCTAAGCATGTGACGCTTGAGAAGAAGATGGGTGGAGCTGAGATGAGTAAGGTTGCTCTGGAAGGACCGGCTGAGGGAGAGGGAGGGATGATGCTATACACATCCGGCACTACCAACAGGCCTGTAAGTCTCCAGCCTCAATTGCACTTTGAGGATCGGTCTGAATGAATTCATAGAAAGGAGTTCTACTCCCCACGGCCGTTCTGACAGCACAAGCCACTTCCTTAACTACAGCATGGGAATACACTCCTCAAGACCACCTCCTGCACGTGCTGCCTTTACACCACATCCATGGTACCGTCAATGCAATCCTGGCTCCGCTCTTCGCCGGCTCCACAATCGAGTTCCTCTTCCCCTTCAACGCAACCGCCGTGTGGTCTCGGTTCGCTGCCCCCTTTCTTCCCTCGCCTAAAACAAGCGAGCCCATAACCTTCTTCACTGTTGTACCCACAGTCTACAACCGCCTCCTCTCCACCCACAATGATCTCTCCGAAGAAGAACAGAATGCAGCGAAGAGAGCTATTTCGCCTGAACACCTCAGGCTAGCAATCTCTGGTTCCGCCGCCCTCCCCACGCCCACGAAAAAGAAATGGGCCGACCTCTCCAACAAAAACATCCTCCTCGAGCGCTACGGCATGACAGAAGTAGGAATGGCACTCTCATGCGGACTCGCGCCCTCTACCCGCGTCGACGGCTCTGTCGGCTGGCCTCTTCCCGGCGTAGAAGCGCGCCTCGTGGACACCGAAACCAACGAAGTCATCCTCCCCGGCCAAGAAACCGATAAGGACGGGAAAGAGCGCGACGGCGAGATCCAACTCCGCGGCCCCACCATCTTCAAGGAATACTGGCGCAACCCCTCCGCCACGGCAAAGGAACACGTCGACGGCACCGACGGCAAAGGCAGATGGTTCAAGACCGGCGACGTCGCCGTCCGCCGAGACGTCCCCTCCGCCTCGGGGTCCGGGCAGTCGTGGACCCACGGACCCATGTATTTCATCCGCGGCCGCCTCTCGGCCGACATCATCAAGTCGGGCGGGGAGAAGGTCTCGGCGCTGGAAGTCGAGCGCGAGATGCTCGCCCTGCCCGAAATCTCCGAGTGCGCCGTCGTCGCCGTGCCGTCGGGCAAGTGGGGCCAGAAAGTCGGCGCGGTGGTGATCCTCGCCGCGGGCGCCGAGGGAAAGAGCGGGAAGGGCTGGGGAGCGATGGATCTGCGGCGCGCGCTGAAGGGGAGGTTGGCGGCCTACAAGATCCCGCAGGTGATGAAGGTCGTGGAGGTGATCCCGCGGAACGCTATGGGGAAGAGTGAGTCTTTTTCTTTTTCTTCTTTTTTCTCCTTCTTTTTTTTTCCCCCTCTTATTTATATTATACCCTCCTCTCCTCTCCTCTCCTCTTCTTATAGCGGAGTAAAGGGACCGCTTTGGGAGAGCGAAAGCAGAAGAAACCCGCGCTGACCCTAAATCCAGTCAACAAGAAAGACCTTGTCAAAGCCGTCTTTGCAGATGAGGCCAGCGGTGACGAGATGTGATCGACAGGCCAGATAGGTAGGTAGCTAGGTAGGTGCGTAGCTAGGTAGGTAGGTAATCGCATATGTAGAAGTCATTAGCCCAGTAGCCCAGTAGCCCAGTAGCCCAGTAACCCAGCAAGGCCCGAGATACCGACGGGTTGTATAGATACATAGATAGATATACGAACTACTGGATTCTCTGGATAGTGTAGACGCAAAGAAAACAATGACAGTACAGGCA